TCAGAGGACTTGTGTTGCAAACGGATTCACCATGATTACACAACTATTATAAGACGAATATTTGTTTTTATGCTTTTTGTGAGCACATATTTCAGTGGAATCTCACCAGAATTTGCTTACAAGAGAATGGACACCTCTCTTTTCAGGAGATTCCCTCAGTTTTCCATTCAGCCTTTAGCTTTTGCAAGCAGTGGGCTAAAGCATAGTCAATGCTACAGTAGTCATACTTTCCAAATGATCTTGGGCTTTGGTTTTAAAAATCATGACTTTAAATCTCTTTATTTTTTGCCATCTCCTTATGATAACTTCTTTTGTCAAGATGCAAAATGTATTTGAGTGTGAGAGCCACGACGCAAAACCAGGGGTGATTTCAGAAGGTTGCTCTCCTCCATGCATACTGATTTGTTTGCCTACCTTTATCTCAATGGGGTGCTGAGTGCATGTTCCTGACTGTTCTAATTGAAAGCCATGCGGAGCTGAGCTCATGTGTACATATGAACAGCCTGCCATCATTTGTCAGTTGGGGGTGAATGGTGTACTCACCCATGAGCTCAGTGACAGATTCTTCTTTAATGTGCTTACTGCAGGGCCATTGCTGTGTTTGGAGCAATCATTCAACGCACACGTTCTCCACTGTCACATGCAGCTTTCTGCCAGCCTATTAATTAGCCCATTAAGCTGTGTCCTACTTATTGTTTATGACAGCTAAGAGCCTGTGTCCGTCTATCCTTTCATCTATGATTTATGAACCAGTGCGTAGGTTTCTTTCATCCTGCAACACTTTCTATTTGATTTTCATCGTCTGCCCATTTTGTTTATTCTAAAAGCAAAAGCAGGAGCTTAGATAATAACATGACCCTCAGCCGCTGTACAGATGTCATACTCCTGTGGCAAACCACTAAGATATAGTGGATCAATAAAATTATATCACAGCCCCTCATTCTAAAAAAAAAAAAAAAAAAAAAAGTTATAATAAGCATTTATTTTACCAAAACGCATCACACATTTTTGGTTATGTTGATGTATTGTTGTAACATGAAGCACAAATTACTGTAATTATTATACTCATGATCAATGTGGAAAACTTAAGAGAAGCGACATACATGTCTTGACAGGCATCTTTTGAATAAATATGGGTCAATCAATACATGCTTGCTGTAGGCTATTTAGAAATGCACTGCAATACTTAACAAGTGTGCTAACATCAATACACCAGCTGCTATTGATCAAATTCATGCTTCTCTTTAAATTTGTAACAGTCGCATGAGCATTTTTGCGGTGGCTGTAAATAACCCATTAACATAATGGATCCTTTCATCAGTTACAGATAAAGACTGAATTAAACTAAAGGTTCAGCTTTCCATGACATCAAACAGGCCTATAAGTGAATTTTCTTGACAGCTGCAGGATCGGCTCCTGAAAGTTCACAAATACCATAATGGAATACAATATTATGAACTAGATTGAACTGAAATTTCTTACACAAAATTAGATTTTCCGTAATTGGGCTTGTAAAATTAGATTTTGTTTCCGCAAAAATTCTGAAATCTCATTTGGCCTAGCCAAGATTTCATGTTCAGTTCTTATTGCCTAATGTTAATTGAACTGAAATGTATCAACTTCTGCATTGTGTCCTACATGCCAGCACTTGTACATTTTTCCCTGGATTGGGATACAATTTGTAATGGGTCCTTTTCAATACAGCCTAAATATAATTAGGAGTTACTGTTACTGAATTGACTAGTGAATATTTCTTCAAACCTTAGAATACTTTGGATAAAACATCTGCTAAATGCATAAACGAACAGAATACCTTTTAGGTTGCGTTTCTGTCAGGTGTTGAGAAGTTGCGTTAAAGTTCGACACTGAATCAGATTCCTATTTCATTTTTTTCTCTAAGTAATGCTTACTGTTCAGGCCGTTAAGGTAAGTGGGCTCATAACTCATAATTATATCAGTTCTTAATGTTATAGAGTGAGAATTTATATGTTTTTGTTTTGTGTGCTCATGTTGTGGCGCAGACACCATATGTAACCGTAGTGGAAGAAATTGGCAAAATAGCAAGAGAGACGGATTTAAGCAATATCTATACTGGTGTAAGCTAACTGAACAGTGGCTGCCCCTGGAATTCGAAATCCTGAGTTGGTCAAGCCATAGCAACAGTTGGTGGCAGCTTCTGTCACAAATACAGAATAGAGGAACAAAGACACATGATATTTGGAAGGAATCAGACAGAAGAGGTGAACAGGCAATCCACCGCACAATGAAGCAAGAAAGGAGAAAGATGAAAGACTGACTTGAGTCAAATTACAGGTGATAGCTTGGAATAGAAAGAGAAATACAAAAGTGTCCTGGAGTAAGAGGAATTGAACCAGCTGAAAAGTGAATAATACACGTTGAGCCTTTGAATTACTGATGTTGAGATCAGAGGATAGAATGACTTTAACTGAGAATATGACTTCTTTTCATCTTTTAGTCTCATTACTTGCCCTGTTTTATAATTGACAATGACATTATATTTTGCATTTCTAGATCCATGGATTAAATCTGAAATTGTTGTGTATGCTCCCTTTTTCCATGCCAAGCTGTGTATTGTGTGTCTTTGTTGAATTTGTGACCCCAATGGCGAGTATAATGTGCACTGTAATTGAGATTTAAAATAAACCCTAATTTCTCTTTAAACTGAGAGAACAACATTATAGAATTTAGCATAACATTTAAGAAAATCAATGCAATTTGGCTCACAGTGCAGATCATTTAGCAGTCAATTGCAACCTTAACGGTCTAAGCTGGTATTGTCCTGGGATGTACCCCCTCAATTAAGGAGTCTGTTGACCTTAAACCTTTGAATTTCAGTGCAGCAAAGCCAAAAGAAGACTGTGCTGCCTTGCCTGACTCCCCTCCACATAATCCCAAGAGTCTCTTCTCTCAAGCCTGGCAGGAGCTAGTGACCTCTCCTTTGTGACTGAATTAATCCACGGGCCTCAGATAATGGCCATGTCACAGCCACCGGCAGAATGTGGCAGGAGAATAATCAGCCCACCGCAACGCCATTTCAATCCCCACGCCACCGATCGCTTTGCCACAGAGGGAAAAAGAATAAAACAAAAGCAAAATGTTTCTTGATTCATTCAGCATGAATGATAAAAAGGCTAAAGATTGTGTTCTATACAGGAAAGCAGGCATGTTTCCTTGACAAATTTTTAAGTCTACACTAAAATGAAATAAAAGGTTTGAAGCTATTGTTCAAGGCAGGTATTCCAACTGAGTGGCAAAATAGCTGCAGATGTGTTTGAATTAAATGTGTGTTATGCATTGGCATGCAGAAGCTTGGGGTAACAATTTTGTTGTTCTCAATCAGTAAATTGAATAGATCTTCAAAGATGGAATTTAAAGCTATCTCCATTATTTATTGATAGTTTACTTTTTTATTTGAATCTCAAACTGTTGAAGAGTAGAGTTTCAAGCTAATTGTTTGGGTCCACTGTTTTGATAATGTAGAATGTCTGATATTTGATATTTCGAAGTATCAGTTATGCATGTGTAAAGATCTTACATTGGGATTGTTTTGTTTGTTTCAAGAATTTTGACATTATCTGGTTGTCAACCCAATGCAGGATTTCTCCACCTATGTGTGAAACTGTTGCAAAGGTGTTTTTAAGATTCGTTCTCACCATTTCTTGTTCAGATGGCAGTTTCAGGTTTTTAATGCTAAAAATGTGCTGATGGTGAAAGAAAAGCCTTTCATGTTCCTGTAGGTTCTTGCATTCTTAAGGCCTTCTGTCAGTCTTGAATTGCCCTTTAAGAGGCATCCTTCAGGCAATTTTGGAAAAGAAATTCCAGATGTTGACTTCTAGTATTCATTTAAACTGTTATTTTCTTTTCTTTTTTTTTCATCTAAAACAAATTTGTCTTTTCTGTAGCATTCTTTTGCTGTGTTGAAATGAATTTATTTGAAAAGATTACAAACATTTGCATGCAAACTTGGTTTTAAGAAATAATAAGAGGATATACACATTTTATGCCATGAAAACTTATTACCAAAAATCAAACTTTTGTAGATTTTTTTCAAATGTGGCACCACTCAGATGTGATATGCAGTTGTATTTGGGAGGTTTGACTTGCTGAATTGCACATTGTCAACGTGAATCTGATCGGGCCTGCTGAGACTAAATAACAGCTTCTTTTTAAAGAGCACGCTGTAGCTCCAAGTTGAAGATGAAAGCTAAATTGAGCATTTTTTTTTCCAGACGACAGCCAAATTGCAAATGGGTATGTTGTGTTGAAAAGTGTGAACATTTGATTTTGCGCTCGAGACAAAAAGTTTCATGTTACTCCAGAGGGAAGGGGTATAAGACATCATTCACCAGGTTACAGTTTATTTTTCTCTTTAAAAAATGACTTCAACATGGCTAAATCCTTGAAAATGTTCTGAAGATGATTTTATTTAAATATATATGAGAACAACTGGTGTGGCTGCTGATGTCAGTGCTTATTTAACTGGTGTTTGCTTCTAAATCACCCACAAAAGCTTTTAATCATTTCCCATGTGATTATTTAGATAGTACACAAATACATACTGTCAGTGCACTAATGAGCTGTTGTTAAAGATTGTGCTCCCAGTGCGACATCCAAGTCTGCTAGCAACCACCCACAGTAACCACGAGATTATCTCCCATCCGCCGGCTCATCTGTGCCTGTCCTCCCTGCTCTTTTTTTCTTTGCAGCGCAAGTTAGCTGGAATTTAAATGACTGTGACTGCTTTGCTTTCCTGTCAGTTCTTCTCTAAGCTGATTTTTTACTGCAGTATGAAGTCCTTCACCTGTGTTCAATCAGTACAATTGTGGCAAGAAGTAGAGGGGACTTTTCTGCAGTGTAGCAGAGCTGTGGTGCTTTGCATCATAAAACGTGGAATTCATTTTATTATTTATTTAACAGAAATAAAAATCAAAAAGTTAAAAGAGCTTTCAGTTGGTTAGTTTTCCAGGTGTTACTAAAGAATGGTTGTTCTAGGTGAAATAGATTTTTAACAGCTTATAACATCTTTAGAGTGAGTTTAGTTTAGTTTTAGAGTTTCCACACTCCAATGATGATGTGATAAAACATATCTCCACTGAGTCTGAATTATTGTCACTGACCAAGATATATATCCTGCTGACTTAATGTCCTTTCTGTTATATGAAAAATATACAATGCCCAATGAAATTCTATTCTATTCAATATTTTTGCATTATTTATGGGAAATCAGGCATTTAAATGATTGTTGCACATCTTTTATTTTCATCTATTTCATTTATTTATTTTACTGGTGAGCTAAACTTCAGATGTACAGTATGTAGGAAGAGTTGCTTATTATCGTTATTGTGAGCTCCTGTTTGTGACAGTTGAAAAACAGTTGTCTGAAAAACATCACCCTGTGCAGCATCCTGATACACGCGTGTGTTTTTCTTTCCAACACTATTAACTGACCTGAGTCCTTGACTCTCTCACACAATTTCAATGCTTCCTCATAAGTAGTCTGAGAAGAAACAATACTGTCAAGTCCAGCATCAAGGGTAACTTAGGTTTAAGAATATAAATAGTAATTCAAAGTCACATTTTTAATTTTATGGATAGCCAGCCAACTCCAAATTACCCTTTCTATAATCTGTGCAAACCTATGATTGTAAATGTAGATGACATAATTTGTATCATCCTTCCCACAATCTGATTTTCTCTTACAAACCGTAAAACCCTCACTCTGCAGACGTAGACTGTTGATGGATCACTTCTTATTTGGTACCTACTCTGACAGGATTTTACACAGCAATACTAAGACACTTTTGCTCTCGGTAGTGGGTGGTAGGTTCACTACTCTTTTCTGTATTAAGGATTGCAGGCAGGGGTTACATTGCTATAATTCTTATTATGCTGGAGAGTCATTGTGCAAATACTTTCTTCTGGATATTTTAAGTATAGCCAACAACATTATATCAATTCTTTCATTTGTTTCTATAATGACGTTGATTACTACAGTTTAGATTTGATCCACATCATTGATGTGCATAGTCTGAACAAGCTAGTGTGAAAAACTGTCTCAAGGGTTGCTACTACGTATCATAAAATAAGGTACATTAGCACCAGCTGTAAAGTAAAATGTTGCTATTTGATCAAAAATGCATCAAAAGATAATTCCCCAGGGAACCTGGTACATATCTGCACACACAAAATTGGGTCAAGAATCAATAGGAGGATTGACAACAAAATAAAATGGCCTGATAAATAATATTGCTATTTCCTCCAGTGTTAGTAATAGCGCTCTGCTCTTACTGGTCATGTAATTGTATATAACTTTGATAGTGTTTTGATTGTGTCATGCAACAACATGAGGTGTAATTTGAGCTTTTCATTAGATTCGAAAAGAAAAGAAAGAATAAGACTTTGGAGTAAGTAGACTGACTAGCGTGTAGAGTACTAGAATGTAAACCCAACATCTTTCTTGGTGTTTGGGACCATTGTGCCTGTTTATGGCAATCATATTTCATTTGCATTGCTTGTTTGAATGTCTGACCCCAAACAGCATCCTATTTAAAAAAAGATGGTGAAGTAATGGACAGCAATCTTGTTTTTTATCAAGACACAGTTACTGTTAATGTTAACAAATTGTGCTCCTCTGTCTTCTCACGCAGACACGCCATGCGTTGCTCTTTTGTCTGCTTCTTGCAGAAGAAAAGCTGGGCCTTCAGTCTCCTTCAACCGCCAAACATATTCCCAGCAGAAAAATCAAATGCTGCCTTCAAGGCCTCAAGGTTTTATAACTGAATCACTCTTTGCCAAATGCAATCGAGTAACCTCCTCCCACAGAAGTAGAAAGCCTGAGTTTGCCAATATGTGTGCTTATAGAGGACGAGTAAAGTAATCAACTAAACTCAGTCAGCCACCCTCCCAGGAGATCAACCTATAGTACCGTGTTTCTCTGAATGGCAGAACATTTGGAATTTCTCAGATTGTCATGAGCAAACCCTTCACCCCCCTGTGCTGGAGTTCATTCTCCTGGCCAAAAAGACTCAGCTGCAGTTTACAATACCTGCTGACACCAACGGCACTGTTTTGTAACCAAAAAGCACCTTGTGCGGCAACAGTGGTGTCTCATAAATAGAAAATCAGTAAAAATGGGCTGTCATTTTAATTGGCCTTTTTAACCCAATCATGTGGTGGGAACCTTTTCGTCTTGATGGATGACCTTATTATCACACAGGGCAAGCAGCAACAATCTTGAGGGAATAACCCAGTTTCACTCATTTAAACACTGTGTTGCTTCACTGATTCTTTGCTGTTTATGTAACACCTTAACATTGGAGGAGGAAATCATTAAGGTGATAAATCAGCTAACAAGATGACGGATTGACTGATTTGTTGCAAAAATTTTAATTTTCAACAAAATCTGGATTATTGTATATGTTTAGTGTCAGGCCTTTTTGTTGCAACATACGAAATGCGTGGAAAAAGATGTGCCTCATGGCCACATAAGCAGATATGTAGGACATAGCAGTCCATGGCAGAAGACATATCTATAACATCTATAGAGACATGCTATGGATATTTCTATCATGTGAAACCCTAAAGGGCAGGCGTCCAGGGTTGGGTACAGTTCTACAACATTCAGCTGGAAGAACTCTCCAGATCTGATGCATCAGTCTGGGATCTGATATGAGCCTGGTTGAAAATAAAATTCCTGCTTTGTTTAACTAAGTCTGTATCAGGGGTGTCCTTTCTGAGGCACCAACACATCAGCAGGTGTGAAAGTTGTGATACGTTTTATATGTTACGGTTTAAAAAGGGAAACATGAAAAGATCTTAATTCTAGTCAAAAGAACCAAATGTATCCTGCTATGGAGATTCTATGTTAGCTACAAATATTATCTCTCATCAGTAAATTATCATCAAAAACAGGTTGCAGGCTGAGGAGAGGCTTAAATAAAAGGGATGAGAGGGTAGAAATCAAGAAAAAGAATTGGTAGACCTACAGAGATAAGAAAAAATAAAGTAATAGATTAGACACAGAACCCAGGGGTGCAGAAAGAATAATAAAGAATACAGAAATACTTGAAATGGTCAAAGATTCTGTATGGCATCCAGTGGAGCATGATTCAGTTTTGGAGAAGGGAATGAAGATAACGACATTATCTTGCAACAGTGTTTACAGGCCCTATTTTTCCCTATGTTTTCATAAGCATGAACACAGTATCCCAGAAAACTGAATTTACTCTTTCATTGCATGAGGCACCCACCAGTTTATGTGTAATCCGGAATAGAAATCATTTTTGTGATGGAGGATAAAGAGGAGGGCTATGTGAGAATATCTAGGATGTACTGTTGTTTATATTTTTGTATGGGGGGATGTCCATAGAAATATTCTTGGTTGCAGTTTTGCGCACCATGTCAGCCTGTCTCCTTTGTACAGAAATGTCTTTCAACAAATCTCCTCTCTCCTCATTTTTCACCTTTTGACATGGAGAAGCCGTGGTTGCAGAGGTTGCAATTGAATATTGGCGGTGTAGCTCTGATTTACTCTCCTCATTTCTATCGATGGACGATGATTGCATTGCTACTTGGGGCTTGGCTCTTTTCCTTCAGGTAACTCATTTGCCCTCTGACTCAGCCTCAGCCTTCTGTCTGGTTTTCAGCAGGTTTCGTGATTTATTTTTGGCTTACATTATCTCATATGATTATTACTGTCATCGTTTTACAGCATCTCAGATTGAGATGATTTAACTTAATTTAATCTGACATATCTAATCACATCACACTATGACTAATTTTGGTATTGTGTTGCCTGTCTCTTATTTTACTTAACAATGTTATCTTCATATAGAGTCCCCCAAGTAGACCCAGGAGGATGTCAAAATCTATACAAATGCTGAGAATGGAGAGGCATCATTTTAACAGGTCACTGTCTGAAATAATGCTCAATAAATGTACAATTCATGTGAATGGCAGTTACAAGACATGTAAAAAATGTATGTCTTTGGTGTAGTCGTGCACTAAACTTATTCTCTCTCTATTTTAACTTTCACTCAATGGCTTCTTCGTGCTAATGGCTAGACTGAAAACTTCTCATCAATCTATACAATTTTAAGTGAGGTTTTGCATAGACTCATATGCAATACTAAGGGTAGTTTTTCTTCATTTTTTTTAGAGCTAAATTAGCTTGTGAGCTCAAGATAAAAATAAACTGGAAAACACAGAGGTTTCAGATCTCAGCATTTACTGGACATTGAGGGTTTTGAAGACAATGCCAAAGTCAATAACACTGTAGGGAGGTGATACATACTAAGTACCAATTTATTAGCATGAGCCATTATTTTTCATTAACATTCACTAATAAACATTTAAATGATTAGCCTCAAGTGATTTTTTTTACTTCCCATAGAACCAAGAACTTTATTTTTGGTTGATCGAGCTTATCAGTTTTTTTTCTTTTTATAAGGTTCTAATCTACAGACAGAAATTTTTGAAGCAGAGAGAGTTACACTGTATCCATGCTTTCCAGATGGGCTTTGAATGTGCAGAATGGTTTGATTATGAGCAGAAATCTGGCTCCAAAACACAAGCAAACAAATTACAGAAGATAATTGATGTTAAAAAGTTTCACCCATTTTTTTTTATAAAACAAGAAGTGAACTTATGCCTCATAACTCAGCAGAGTTTACATTTCTTCATGTGCAGTGGAGCCTATGGAAGTATTTAGTAATAATAAATATACAGCATTTTATTTTCAGTTATCCCCGTTAGGATTTGTTAAAAAATATACATAGATGCTCAATTTTCCAGATTGAAGGAAATTAAATGTTTGACATTCGCATTTCCATGTTGAGATTCTGAATGAGATCCTCCAATTTCCAATTTAAAAAATAATGTAGAATGCAAAAATAGTACTGAAGGCCCCTCCTGCATTGCCAAGCCACTGTAAACCAAAGAGTGGGTACTTAGGGGGCACTTAGACCTCGCTGTAGGTTTTTATCGTCATTATGAGCAGCATGTCATTAAAAAAGCTCAAATAAGCAGATAGCTCCCTTTAGCTATTTAGCATTAGAGACTGTGGCTTAAATATTCATTGGTTGTATAAACTGAAATAGTATATTTTTTTAGGTGAATGATATAAATGAAATGCAATGATGCATAAAAAGATATGTTCAGTTGTCTTCTTCACTTTTTTGGGGAGCATCAGTGTTGTGGGGCTTTTGCATTTGTTCTAAAGAGAGCAAAACAACAGAAACAATTTCAACAGTACATGCAAACCTCAACTTTTTGCCACGTTACCTTATTTTTTCTCTTGTATGCAAAGAGAATCGGGAACTCAAAGATACCGTGATATACCATGTCATTTTAGCCACCTGCTTGATGAGATCAAGTTGCCTCTTCATGGTAATTAGGATAGCACAGCACATCTGTCCATCCCCGGACATCTGCATATTTGCATGTTGCTGGATGAATGTGTGTGCTCTCAGCTGGAGTGGTCCATCGCAGCCATTGCATTTTAAGCTTAAAAGGCTTAAATAGGGAGACGTAAATCACAAAGCAGCTGTCGAGCAAAAGCACAGATACAGAAGAAGGTGTGTGGGAGAGTGGGCAGATAATGGGTAGCTGTGGGTTGTGCCTGAGACTGTACGCGTGGCCTGAATAGTGGCTACTGTATGTCTATACGATTGGATACAGTTGGTTGAGTAGAGCCAGCTTTCTTCTGCTCTGGCCTCTCTGCTACGGCATGAAAGCAGGCAAGTCATGTTTAGGGATAAATATTGAAGTGGGACTTTCTAAAAAACAGTTTGGCAAACGTACAGTGTTTTATGTGATATTTTCAAACCGCTCGATATAAATCCACAAGACAAAGTGGAAAACATGTCATTCACAAATCGAACAATACTGTTTTACATAATACTTTATTATTGTGTGGGAAGACATGTGCTAAAAAGACCACATTTGTTTTAAGTCTATTCAACTGTTTCATATGTTTTTTTTGCATCCACTACACTCAAAGTGTGAAAGGAAGCATGGTTAGTGAAGCTCCTACATCCAACCAATAGATTGTTTTTTGATAAAACAGTACTTCCTTGCAGCATTTACCCTTTTTAAAATGTCCTCTACCCTTAAAATTCATTGAAAAAAATTGGGGAACTTGACAAGGATCAAGGATTTCCCTCTGTAAGCATGACCATAAAAACATTATCAGATCACAAACACTCGCAATTAACCGTATTTAAAGAATTTATAGGACTATGTCAAATCCTTAAAAAAACGAGGTCTCCCACCCTCTGTGTCCATTGTTGTGGCAGCCTGTCCAGACGTGTACTTCAGTTTATGTCGACCTGGAACTGTCTTCCACCGTCAGCATCTCTTTGCACTAAAGAGATTAGGTTTCGCTTTTCTCTGTTTAGTAGCGTGCATTGTAATTTGGAGTTTGCATCTAAAATCTTAGTGCTCTTAGGCATGGGGTACCTGTAAAGGTCTTGCAGATTTGACCACGTTTTGAAAGCATCTACAAACATGTTATTTTTTACATTTAGCTTGTAGTTTTTCTGATCCCTAGTTTTTATAAATGTTATTTTTTACATTTTCCTCTCTCTCCATCATAAGAGGACATATTTTCCACATTGAATTACTTTCTTTTAGTTTAAAGATAATTGATATGGTAATATCTTGTAACAAAGTTTGAGAATGTGTGTTACCCCAAAATGTCAGTTTTTGGTCACAGAGAATGTCACATAGTGGAATCAGGCCATCTTCACAAATTACAGTTATGAACTTTCTCTTTAATTTTTACAAGTGGAATTTCTAATGCATTTTTATCTTATATCTTGTAAAATAGCTCCCTGATATGTTTTAGCCTCAGGAAATGCTTCCTATTGCATATCATTTTCACCTTAACCACTACCTTTGATAAAAATGAATAAGACTCAGGCTTCCGTGGCTGAGAAAACAGTAATTAATACTTTAACTGCAATTTTCTTTTGCTCCTGGTCGACCCGCTCTGTTGCTTGTCTTTGTCCCATGCTCCATGTTTTCATAGCTCAAGGGGAAAATTCCTTTTATTCCTCAATACAATCCTGCATCATGAAGCACAATTTTTGGCTTCAGGTCCTGGGTGCTCTGTGTCCCTAAAACATTAACACACTTAAAATACACAACTGCCCTCCCACTCAAGCCTTTAGAAGTAAAAGGATATTGTGCACAAATGTCTTCTTATTCCTTTCAGATCCAAACCACATTTTCTTCTGTGCATTTTATTTGTTCATGGCTTTGATGGTGCTTTTTATAGAGTACAGGATATAAAATGTCATACCATCTCTTCAGGCCACCTAGTTGAACACCATCCTTAGTGTCAGTCATACGTTTCGATTTTTGCCATTTTAGTTTATTTTAGATTTGTTCTAGACATGTCTGACTGGTGCCAGATGTCCCTGAATCATGTAATAAAAACTCCTCCTCCGATGGCTTTGATGACCACGGATGAATGAATATAAACTTTGGTGAAGCTTAAGGACTTTTTATATGCTGAGTGCAATGTATGTCAGGCAACAACACCCTTCCGATTCATCGTCTTATGTCTAAATTTGATCTCCTGTATGTGAAAACATGCCAGAAGCAAATGTGCTGTTTATGCCAATTAGATGTTTGTGTTGTGAATGATCTGTTATTGCTAAAATTTGTTTAGCTAAATGAGCCACTGGAAAAGCAGGGCCAATAAGGAACTGGCTTCTCAGGTATTTTGAAAGAACTATATCTTATGATGCCAAAATATTTTTTTAGATTTAAGTTTCATTTTAAAATAATATTCAAGGAGATTTGGATGTAGTGAGCCTCTCATCAGTACTAAACCAGTGTAGTGATATTAGTCTGTATTGCAGTAAATCCTGCTCATAAAGCCTTTTGTCTTTCAATTGGCATTACTTATGTCAATTCTGTTTCTTATTGGTCAAGTTCAATTTATGTACATTATTGACCACCTATGATACTGACAATCAATAGCTTTGTTTGTTGTCGTATTTTGTTTGTCTTTAATGATTCTCAAAGGAGACAATAATTATATCTAGTAATTTCTATTTGGCTCATAACATATTGACGCAACCTCAGGAACGAAACTGTTAAAAAAGGGCTGAAAACTGTCCATGCCAAAAACCTGATACAATTACCATGTCTCTCTGTCTCCCCTCTGGGCAAAACATGTTGAATGAACTTCCCATGTCATATTGTTTTGATTTAAGACTATTGTAGAGAGCCCGTTTTAGCTTAATGAACGGCATCTTTACACACATTGTCCGGTAAGAATGTATTTATGGGATTCACAGCGATGACTCAGGCCGAACAGAAAAATATGTTTTTGCCTGTTGAGTTCTGAGAGCAAGGTGCTGCAAATCAATCACACATGCTGACTGGACCAGGATCAATTCATAATCTGAAATGTTGAACTACTTGAAGTTCTGATTGGGTTGTGTCATTAGATAGAGGAAGGATGCAGGGTTAAATGGCTATGATTAATCAACCTGAAAACAGTATCTGCATGTTTTTTTGCCATGTTCGAGAGTATCCTGTGTTTACATTGAAAGGTCAATTATTAAATTAAATTGAATTGCTTTTCTAATATGTTTTCAGGTCCTTTTTTTCTTTTTTCTTTTTACAATGTATTAGGTTAAGTGAGCTCCGGAGTTGTTTATAGCTGTAAAACATTTTGATTACAGGTGGACGAAAAACAACTCAAGGAAAATAATGGCACTCAGACTAAAGAATGCTATTTATTGTAATTAGAACCAGTCTTTCATATTCAGGTAATTAATTTAGTAACTCTCCATGAATATAAACCTCTGTGCTATCAATAATTATGTAGCTAAACGTGTGCTTCACAACATAATAAATGTTTTAGTAATGAAGCATTTATGAGATATATCAGTGCTCCAGTTTTTTTTTTTTTATATTTAACTTTTTATCATGCTGGTGACCGCCTCAACTTTCTTCTGCTGAGTTACATAGCTAAAAAAGATTGTGGGTGTTGATAAAGTAATTCCTTTACCCGGTAATGTGTATATGTCAGTGCCCCTCTACTGCCATCTATGGGCAACCTGGGGTCATGGCTGATGGCTTTACATGATAACTGCTGGAGAGCAGCTTTAGTGTGATGCTGCTGTTCTCCCCAGAGAGTCAGCTGTAATGATTTCATCATTTTCCTGATTATTGACAGGCGCCCCAAGCTCCGCTATTATGTTTCCAGGGTTACAGAGCAAATTAACATCCATTAGAATATTATTATTCACTTTGTGTTTGTGTGTGCGTGTGTGCGTGTGTGTGTGGGGGGGGGGGTGGGGGGGGGGGGGTTTTTGCAATTGGATGTTGACACTAACAAGACTTGTAGACACATTAGACAAATGATAGGCTCATCCAATATCCAGCTTCGGTCAGCAAATCTGTGTGACCACCAACTTGAGGTCCATATCCTTCAGTTTCTCCATCCTTAAAAGCTACATAATTAAGGATGGAAAATCTGCAACAAAAGAAGGAGCAGAAGAGCTTTAAAATGTCCTTTTCTGTAGAACAACTCCAGAAGACTACTTACAGGAAAGAGGCAAAAACTTGTCTATGAAGTCTCAGACAGTGTTGTCACAAAGCTGGCCCTACTGATTTTCAGAGCAATGTCATATCAGTTATCGGTCTTCAATGGTGTATTTGTTTGTATATGCACACTTTGGAAAATTGATTGCCTGCTGTTTGTCCTCATTGTAATAACTAATACTTTTTCTCTTGTCTTCTCTCTTTAGCTGCCCTGCAGGTGTCCATTTCTCTGAACAAAGTCGAGTTAAGTGTTGGAGAGTCCAAATTCTTCATCTGCACAGGTAAACAACTTTTGTTTTATCATGCATATGCTGGTGTCATAGACTCATATAGTGTCAGTGTTTGTTTGAAGGCAAGTCAGAGTAGTTTATCCTGTATAGGTGTTTAGTTTGATCGGCATCTGAACATCTCCACCCCTTCTTGTCCCTCTTGCTCATTATCCAGTCTGAACAGCATATTTTGACTATAGCAGAGAAGCCAATGTCCCCACCAGAAGCTTGCTAGGGTGATATCCCGCTTTGGCAGTCCCGGGTCTGCCTCCTGCTGGTTGCCACCTCTAGTCTTCCAACTCATGCTGCGTGGAACTAACAGCCAAGGGAGCAGAGACACACTAATACAAGTGTGCTGGGTTTGTGAATCTGGGTTTGAGTGAGAGCAAGGTGAATGGAACCAAACTAGCTGCAACTAAAAGGCAAAGGGTAAAAGGTTTTACAGTGACCATTTCAGAACTGAAAAGGATGGAAAAAGCTTTAAGGAAAAGAAGAAGTGGAGGTGCTAGATAAGTGAGTGGTAAGTAGTAGCCACTATCCCCTGGCAAAGCATGTGAGAAGTGTCTCACCATTTTTTGGCCTTTCCCAACATGGGCAGTTAAGATTGAATTTTACTAGTCACACACAACAAAAAAGAGGAGGCTGAGAAACAGGGAAACAGTCTGAGACAAAAAGCATGAGCTTTAAGAGAACCTCAAATAAACACACTGCAGTTCATAGTTTATGTCATTGTAAATGTAGTTACATTGTGTCCAAAAAAATAATTGATGATAACTTTATGCACTATAGTGATACAATACAGAAAACCCTTGAAATGTATTGTAACAGACCAAAGACAACATCACCAATTCAACTCCAATCAAAAGAAAAATAAGCACTTTGATGCGTAGCCCTTCTGTGAAACTAATTACACACTGAGCCACGATGGCCTATTTAAGTTTTCCATTTTTGTCAAAAGTCAATTGAATGAAAAGTTTTAAATAAAGTATAGAGGAACAGCCTAATAAAAAGAACATAGGAAAAGCCCAGTTTTTAGGACACAAGATTAACTATTCAGTGTAATGTCATCGCTCCCCCAACCATGTGGCTTCTGAATACAACCGTTTTATTGTGGATTTTAGCAGCTATAGTAAACGTGTGTGTGTGTGTGCGCGTGTGTGTGGATATATATACGTTTGTTCTTTATTTACAAAGAAATATATAATAGTTTCACATTAAACATTAACAAGAGTGATAAAAATATTAAATATTCAACAAAAACAATAATGATAAATTATTGCTGTTTCATTTTTAGTCAAGGCTACAAAGAGCTGTTAAGGGATGTCTGGAGAGCCTCAAGTAAGTCGCTGATTCCTGGTTTAGACGGACCAATGTATAATGTAACATACTATGTTATTTTATATTACATTACACCACATTATATTACATCGTATCACATTATATAGTTAACCAAATCTATGCACATTTCTGAATTATTGGGAAGAAACCAACAGAAGAAATCCCGCTGTATTAAAACAGACCTGTTTAAAATGAACAAAACCATAAAAGTATTTATCACCAACGCAGCCTCACGGCTCATGTTTAATTTACCAGCTGTTGTGAACAGGGCCATTCAAATACATTTCATTCATGTTGAGGTGAAAAGCTTTTCTTAGGCCTGAGCTTTCAGTGCAGCATATGTGAAGTCTGTGTTGAAGAAACATAGAAATTTGACCAGATGCCAGTAAACATTTTGTGACATACTTTAAAGTTTTAAATTATGAATACTTATAAACATTCATACAGTTCGACTATTTTCATCAAATCCATGTGGGGCCAATAGAATTAGGTTGCTTGGAGAATTTTTCAAGGTTTTTACCAAAAACCTTCAATTTGTATCACCTGACTTTATCTTGAGATGTTATTAACAAGCCCCATTCAAAACTTTCTAAAATACTGATCACAAAAAAAAAATCTAATGCTGCATTTTCCATAATAATGAAATAATATGGAACGCCATTTCACTCTTCATCTTATTGGTTAATTAAGTGCACTTCCCTGTGCACTATATAACACCTGGCAGTTTTGTGTTGTTCCTTTTTGCACCTTCAGCAGACGCAAATAAAGTGATACCTCCCAGGATAAAATAAAAACAAACAAACAAAATATTCCCTCTGTATAATGGCCTGCTCATGGATCTGTTATGCAAACTGAACCCTGGGGATGGTTTTTCATCATCTCACTGGTAGCTGAAATAACATCACTCTCCCTTGAACTCAGCTCCTTTCATTTACACACAGGCTGGTTTTTTCTCTGATCGCCCTGTAATAAATCAGCCTAAAATCTCCCATCACTGTTCTGCTGTGCATGATGTGATCGTTGTGAAGATTCCCTTCAACAATGAACCAGAAAACAAAATATTTAAAAAAAAATCCAATTTCATGGAAGCTTATCATTTTAAAACCAAAAGTTTAATCATGTTTGTTTTGTTTTAATCTCTGTTTTTGTTTTTTGTTTTTCATACAGCTGAATCGTTGGTTTTGTTGTTTCTTCCAATGTTTTGCATTTCAGATCACTGTAATATGTAATACATATTATTTGCAATCACTCTGGCAACAGTATCAACAAAATCCTGAATAAAAAAGCTGTTTGCCGTGTGGTTACCCTCCCATGTGAGTGAAGTACTAGGGAGCCATTGTAAGCCTTCGCAAGAGTAGCAGACAGAAGCAGCATTAAAGAAGCTTCTATTGTAAAATAGGATCTAGAAGCTCTTCTTTTTATGTGTTGTTCTTTAGGAAACCAAAGCAGGGAAGGTTGTTTGTCATAAAGGACTTGCCAAACATTTCCCAAGGGCCAACAAGTAGATGAAGAGAGGCAGATCATTTTGACATCTTGCATGCTGACCAGCGAGCTTCCTTCCCAGCTCAGATCTATTTTCTCCTCTGCTATCTTCTTCCCCTGAGTTTTAAATCAATTACTTACTAGGCTTGAGTGCCAGCCACTGGAGGGATGTAGGAGTGTTTGGGCTTCTGCTTGCTAAATTCCAGTACCAAGGGGCATTTGTAGTTGGTAATCTTACTTGTGTTTGGTCTGGGGACACTGCTTCTATCAGGGATCATGAATGTTGTAGGACATATTGTCACCATACAGATCTTTGTTTCTTTTCTTTGTTTACTATCTTACCTTTGGAGCACAAATGTACTCACTTCTCTTTACAGCCAAGAATTTGTCACAACGCCAGAGCTTATGCAGATTTTAAGACCAGCTTATTGATGCAGACGCAAAGCCACACAAAGGGGATCGGCTTGCTACACACTCGTCCTGTCTTCTCAGATCATCTGTGAATCAAATGGGCCTGTATAAGTGCTTCTGCTTATCAATGTTTATGCTATCAAAAGACTGTATAATGTATAGAGGGAGGTAGGATTTTAATGCTAGCAGGTGGAAAAAGACGCCTGCAACTCTCTTGGGGACTTATCTGTTCCTTGCAAGTTCTTACATGAACCACAGGAACCCATTGGGTAGCAACTCTGTGTCCTTCAAAACTAACTGGTTGCAGGCAAACATGCCAAGAATTTAATGATGATCAGAGTTAGCCTGTGTGACTTGGAACTCCCACGTTTGCAGTGGAGTCCTGGCATTAAGAAGCAAATTTGTCAACATTTAACTTTACTTTGTTATTATACAGCAAGGTCCCTTGGTAGGGGCTGTTTATCGGAACTAGCAGCCCTTTGCTCATGATACTGAAAACCTCAAACTACCTTTCCCATAATGAAAAGTACATGTAGAGTCTAGGTAACAACACAGGTCTCTATCTATTTTCTCTCTCTTTCCTGGCTTTTTCTGATTGATAAGCTAATTAATGGCCCTCTACCGTGGCTGTTTTATTTACAGACTTTGCATGCAAGGGGTGCCAGCTTCTCACAGATGGCTCTATAATCTCACAAAGTAGCCAGATGAGTTTTCGTTTCACAGGGTACATAAGGACACCAGGGTTTGTGCTAGCTTGTGATCATTTATTTCAATCATTGGATACATGCATGTATGTACACAGACATGAAATCAGACGAATAATCAGTTTATATGTCCCCATTTCTTTACAGCAGAATTAGCTGTGTAAATTCAAAGGGTTGACATAATCATATCATTTCATTCCATCTGCTCCCAGACTTGTTCCAGCAACAATGCTCAGCTCAGAAACAGAAGTGCACTATTACTGGGAGGAATACTTGGGAGGGTAACAGTGATAGAATGCCAAACTCAGAAAGAAGCGGCACATCCATTAACAGAGTTTGCAACAGAGGCTGAATTGTTTTTCCAGGGTTTGTTGATGTGGAGTCACCAAATTGGTGACTTACTATAGAAGCTTTCATTTTTGTCACTTTGTGTTGGTTTTGTCTCTTTAGACATTATATTGTTATATTTTCTTGTTGGTTTATTTCAGTTAATCTAACTAGGGAAAATGAGACAAAATCAGCTTTCTTTCATCAAACCTTTCCAATGTTTACTGTTTCAGAACCTATTGTCCAACCCTGAATTACTTGGTCAAAACTAAGGAAATATTTGAAATTTATTCTGTATATTTTTTGGATATCTTTGTCTTCTCTGCTTATAGCTATTGGTGAGCCTGTCAGGCTGGAATGGTACAACCCTCAAGGTGAGCGCATCGTCCAGTCTAAGCGAATGGCACTTCACACCGAGACATCACGATCCAGGCTCATCATTTACAATGCCATCATCGAGGATGCAGGAATCTACCGCTGCCAGGCCACCGACGTCAGCGGCCACACAGTGGAGGCCTCAGTTGTGCTGGAAATTTACCGTAAGCTTGCCTGAGGCACGCACAGAACTTTATGATTTTACCTGCAAATACTTTGCATTTTCCTCACAAGAAAAATAATAAAGCCCTTGCATTAGCATTTGATCGCAGGGAGAGAAGGCCTATATATTCCCACCCAACTCACAGCCACCAAAATAGTCCATCTGTCCACACCTGCACAATTCAAGCTGACGTGTAGCTTTGACTTTGTGTTTGCGATAGGGTGCTTGCCATTATGGTGTAATGACCGCTATCGATGCCACAGGACTTGAATTCCTATTTTTCATGTTTACTTATTTGCGAAAAATATAACTTTTTTACCACTGAAGGTGAAGTGATACCACTAAATTTAAAAGTTATAGGTGATGCTCTAAAAGCTGATCAGTTTTACTGTTTTCCAGCCAACACAGTATATGTAACAAAGAAATATAGCATCTAAAAACAACTTGCCTTTGCATTTAAATACCATGGCGGGATGGATTAATGTGTTCTAAATAAATTTCACAATAGAACCAATAGAGCTCTAAGCTGTGAATAACCAGATACTATTAACCACCATAGCTTTGATCTGGAGCCTATAACATGTTTGATTAGAGGAAACGTCAAGATGTGGGGATTCAACTCCAGAGAACCATCCACACAAGTGTGCACATGCACATACTGGAAATCCCCACCTGCTGTCTGCATGCCTTTTCATCCTCTCCCAGTGAAGCAGTAGGAGAGAGACCACAGCCTCAATTACACCTGCCACCACTCAGCCATCGACTCGTCTACCACATAACCAGCTCCCTAAAACCACTGTTTCCATGGCAACTAGGCGCCGCTCTCGCTCGCCCTGTGGCTTAGATTGCAAGAGCAACAAGCTGATAAAAGTCTGCCTAAAGCCTTGGCACAGCCGGAGAAAGCGATGACTCCTCAGATGGGCCTGTTGGCCCCAACTCGTTGAACAATATATTTTGTGACCCTATTTCAAAGATGAATCCTACCAGATTGCAATGCATCATAGTTACTCAATTACATATCGTTCGTTATTGATACATCACACTTACAAAAAGTCTCAGCTTTATCTTGTGGCTCTGCTGTTCAAAACGCAAAAAAGAAGAAAGACAAAATATATTCACAAATATACATATGAAAGAAATGACTTTTTTTGGGGGGTGAATTTGTTTTAGCCTGTGTTGTGGCAATCGCGCTCTTTACATAAGACAGAAATATGCTAACTTGAAAGCCTTTGCATGTTTTTTGCTGCATTCCTTCAAGCCAGGTATAATGAGGCAACTAGTTACATAGTGTTAGACAGTATGTATGGAAAAAGCTCCCAGTACTGAAAATATCCAAATGAAGTGTTGAAATAAGCAAATGGTCATGCTGTTGGGGTTGACCATCCAACACACTGATAGGGTTGGGAATGTTGGTATACCGTATTGTAAGTCACTTTGGATGAAACCATCTGGTAAATGCATATACAAACCTCTGCAGAAACACTACAATATGTCATTTGCACTGTGACATTGTTTTGTTTGTGAAAGGACACATTGTACACTGAATAACCCAAGTTAGGGAACATCCCTAACCGGGTTTTAATCCTGGAGAACTAGCAACCGATCTGTGTGGAGTTTGCATACTCTGCCTGTGTATGTGGGGGTTCTCTCCAGGTACTCCAAAAACATGCATTTTAGAATAACTGGACACTCTAAATTACCCCGAGGAGTGAACTTGAGTGTGTGTGGTTGTTTGTTTCTATGTGACCCAGTGATGGGCAAACAACCTGTCTAGGGTGTATCCCACCTCTCACTTAAACCAGTTATAAACATTTCGATGTTGAAATGTTCCACTTTAGCTCCTGTGCTTTTCAGACTTCCTGTTTAAATCCACAGTTTGCTCTGATTGAGTTCAAATGATGGTAGTAATACTTACTCTGAGCACCTGCATTCTACTTAGCTGATGGCCATGGGGGTTAAAGAGTTGTAAAGAGACAGGAGCTAAACTTACGCATTCTTAATAAAAATATCATGTGAGATTTTTTCAATTCCATAAGAAATACAAGCTTTTTTATCAAAGAGTAGATGTTTAACAAGTTATTCCTTTAGCAGACACTACTCCTAGTTTTAAGACCTCAGTGAAACAGCCAATCTGCAATCCCAATATTTTAAACTCTATTATGAACAAAACCAGAAAACTACCATCAAATTGGAACATTTCCCTATGGGATTAAATCCAGACAGGAAATTGGAAAAGATGTATTTAAAAGAAGAAAAAAAACATTTTAAACCTTATTACCTTAGGTTCTACCTCAAAACAGTCAGCAGGACAGGAAAAGCATAACAATCTCCTCTCATTTTTCTTTTGATGTTCAGAGCAGCAATAAGTTGCCAGAATGCTTACCATGAAATCTCCATCTTTTTTTAATCTCACAGAGAGGTTAACGTTCAGGGATGTTCAGTCACCGCAGGAGTTTCGCCACGGTGAGACAGCAGAAGTGGTGTGTGATGTCATCAGTTCACCTGTGCCCGTAGTGGTGTGGTACTACCAGGACAAAGAGATTACAGAGGATCACCACAGTAAGTTCAAACCTTTTGCTTTCTCATTAAATTAACTGTATTATAAGATTAGCTTTTTCTGAGAATTGTTTGCTTTGTTTCAGTTTTATGAAGATGAAGAGTAGCAGACAATGTTAGTTCTACTTTTATTCTTATTACCTGTTACATGTAAATTACATATGTATTCTTGTCAAGAAATAAGTTTTGCTGCATTGTGAGTCAGGGTTGCTAATGCAAATTACACACTGTTCATTCCCAGTTCATCTTTCATCCCATACCAAACATTTGAGGTGAGGGTTTTAATTGAACAGTTTTTGGTAGTATTTTTTTTTTCATTCCAAACTGGTCGTTTGATGATGTGATTATTCTTTTCAGCATCGTTTGACAATGGACTGCAAATCAATGTGAAAAATTACGCCAAATGCACAGTGTCTTAAAACAACTTTTATATTATAACTAGTTGGTAGTTCTGTTATTTAGGGAAAATGAAAGAAATTCACAGAATTGTTGCTTTAGCAAGTGATTTAATAAAGTATTGTTTCAAAATATTCTATACTGTTCAATGATTTTGGCCATTTACCATAAAACAGTGGCAGTTTAGGCTTCAGGGCTGAGCTGCTGTGATGAACAAGCTGCTCTTTTATGTGCGTGCATCATTCTGCGGGTCCCTGTCAATTCCAAAGTCCCTTGTAGTGTTGGACATCAAAAGATTAAAACCACCCCAGAATGGTGCTGCTGATAAAAACTTATGAAATACATCACAGTGCTGATTCTGTATTGTGGAATTACATTGAAATCAATGCTACAACATGAGAGAAAATCACTACTTGTACTGTTTTTCAATCAGCTCTGATTATTCTTCGTGATTTCCCATGATAATACAATTTGTGAAAGGAAACATTCTCAGAGAGTGACTTTTTGAATGTAAATTTACCAAACACCCTTACTTATTGGGTAGACAAATGCTCATAAGCCCCTGTGGGTTCAGCTCGCTTTCTCATCAAACAGGCCTGTTAATGTGCCAAAATTACAGTTCTCTAGGAAAGGCTTTTTCCTTCTTTTGTATGGATTCATAATAAGACAAGGATGTAAAATTCTATGAATAGAAACCCCATCAGCCCTGGAGGAAGCATCTAATTTGAACAGAACCAAACCATGTTAACAAGCGTCTGAGAGGATGGATTATGGAGCAGCTGGATGGTGACATAGAACACACTGATTCCCATGAGACGAAAAGCAAACCAGCAACACTGTATTTCATGAAATATACAAACAACTAAATATGGATGTCTTTATGTCGTACTGCAGTTTCTCTCAGCAAGAAGTTAGTGTGGTTGTCGATCATCTTCCATTCCCCATGAGCAAAAGATGATGTCATAAAACTCCCTGTGGTAATGCAACCGTGTTCGACTATTATATTGTGAACTATCAGAAGGATGGTCAGTTAGAGGGGGAGAAACACTGAGGAGACACTGGTGCAGTTATGAGAATCAGCCCAAAGGACTCATGATTTCATCTTCCCTTCTCCTTGATTTAAACTGCTTCATGCACATCCTTTTCTCTGAGAGAACACCGAGTATCAGAGCACTGATTAGAAAGAGTGACCCCTCGAATCCTTGAATCTGTCACATTTTTAATTGAAATTCAAATCTTCAGTGGCAGCGCAGTGATGAAATATCCAGAGGAAGTTTTTTCTTCTTTAATCATTTCACTCTAATTGCAATGCCTCGTTATAAATATCTTTGCCATGGAGAAATTAGATAGAGGCCTCAATTGTCCTGGCCACTCTTACAGTGGCCAAAATAGCATAGAGCTATAATTCCTGTAATTGTAACTGAGTGTTTATCTTTGTGGTCTTGTATCAGGCAGACGTGCTTAACTGAAGACTGGAAATGGAAATTTTTTCCTGCTGTTTTTCTAACTGTCTTATCTCATCTCTCTTTCTTTGTTACACTGTTTTTTATCATTTCCTCTCCCCACCATCTGCTTTCTGTCTGTTCTCCTCTCTGCCCATGCTGTGAAGGCAGGTTCCAGGTTTTGGCAAACAACAACCTGCAGATTCATCAGGTGACCAAGGCTGACGAGGGTGTGTACCGCTGTGAAGCCAGCGTGGAGGCCCGCGGGGAAATTGATTTTGTTGACATAGCCATGGTGGTCAATGGTGAGTTGCAGTGAAATCACAGTAGCATCTTAACCTCATGCGTATAAATGTGTGCATTATAATCTCTTGAAGTAAGGGCACTTGGAAAATAGAGATATTGAAAAGCAGTTAGATGTTTTGAATTTGTGAGATAGATTAAATAGTCCTGGTGAATTCGTCCTGAGTGATTTTAAAATTCAAGTGAGGATTGAGCCGATTGGAGGTGATTTAAGTCTGAGTTCCAGGGTTCACATTTGAGCTTCTCAGTGGAATTCACGTACTGGGACACCAGATCTGGAACAGTCCTCACAATTTTTTTTAAGATAAAAATAAAGAAGACGGACAACCAGACACAGTAAATTCAAAGTTGAATTCAAACCCAACATACATGTTTTGGGAAGATGGGTGGAAGCAGGAGTTCTCAAATAGACCAGAGAACACACAGAGAGAACATATAAACCACACAAAAAAGCTTCCAGCCAGGATTTGAACTGGGAACGCAATACCTCAAGGTTTGCACTTCTCAAAGCTTCAGTGGACAAGCTGAGATAAAGTGTGTTTTGACCAGTTATCAGATTAGTTTGGTCAGTTTTATGTTTCCCAGCTCAGAAAAAGCCTAATGAATAATAATAGTCAACGTATTCAGACGAAAATGTGAAACAGTTCATCAGCTGTAGATTTTACCTTGTTCAAATTTGTGTAAGAAATGTCAACTCAAGAAATGTCTATATCTTAAGATCATCATCATACCCATTGATCTCATTTTAACGCTGAGACATTGATACAGTCTCATAAGATCGTTTGTGGAAATCTACACCATCCTTGAATAGTGTTGCTATTCCACCGAGTACATTTTAAAAGGTAGTCCCAAGAATCCACAGGATAATAAATCTGTAGTTGCATGGTCGAAATGTTTTGTTCCACAAAGATCATTTGACATGCACAGCTAGCCCTTTCTTCCACAGTTCACATAAACCAACAATAACATCCATTTAGATTCTGAGCACATTCTCGTCCTCACGGTGTCAACAGATAAACATGCAATGGGGATTTATTTTCTTAGCACGCACCAGTTGTGTTGTTGTCGTTCTCAAGACTGAACACCAATTGTTCTGTTCATTCTGACACCTATATGGATGTACTGGTGGCTAAGGTCAAATGAACAGTGAGTGATCTGGCCTGGTTTTGGCACAGCTACTGATTATAATATGGGTTCAATATGGGTTATAATATGAATTGTTGTTTGTTCATTTAAAAGGAAGCCGTATTTTCTCCTCAAGTGCTGCTCTTACATTTGAAAACTGAATGAAGTAGCTGCAGCTTATGGGATGTCAGTTTGCTTGGGATGATTTGAGTCTCATTGAGCCTGTTATGTGAAAACCACAACGTGAGCTTGACAGATCTCAGAGTTTGTTTACAGCATTTCGATCATCTGCAGTCAAGTCGGTGATTCTGAAGCAGCACCCATTGATGTGCACAAACCAAGCTTGAAATTCATGTCAAACATATGGTACAACAAAGCTGTCAGCTTTGACAGACTCGGCTCCACTCACTCAGACAAACTCATGATTGCTGGCTGGTTTCCTCTTAATCTTCTCTTTATGGGAGTGTTTTTTTTTTCTTGTTAATAATTTCAGCTGCGGCTGTGTTTGAACATTTCTGTAAGTCATGTGGATACTGCTCTTCAGTTTCATTGGTCCTCATTTACATTCAGCCACATGAGAGAGCCACTGGAAGGCTACTAGTAAACTAACAGTTGAACAGCAACCATATGTGCCTACATAACTCTCACACACCTAAGGTAATAGTAGAAAAGAGCTCAGCTCAAAAGGTATGCATTGCATTCAATTTACCACACCACTTACCTCACTGGTGTGGAAGATCCAATAAGCCAGCTCAATAAGGCACAGCCTATTATCACAGCGATGCAACACTTTCCATGTGGGGCTCTGAGATGACAGACTGTGGAGCTCTTTGCCGGGCATCCCGAGAGGTGCTCACTTACTGAGGCAGAACCCAATAAGGTACAATAGTGCCATACCCAGAGCAAGACACATGATGAACTTTACTTTGCTTTAAGTGTACGTCCTGGGTGGACTCTGACAGAGTCTACAATGCTATACTGTGAATTCATCATGTAGAAAGCAAATCTTCTTAAAAATCTAAGTGGAGCACCACTTTTTTCTCTTGAAAAATGCAGTTATTAAAAATGTTTGGTATGTTTTGGTATGTCCTGGAACACAGGAGTCTTTCAGGCGTGCATACATTATTGAGCGTTCAATGGGTGCTTACAAACCAGTTGATCTTTGTAAAACAGAACAACAAAACTGAGAAACCAGAATTAAAAAAAAGTAGATGGTTTAATATTACAGAGTGGAAAACAAAACAAAGAGCATAGAAAAGAAAAGAAAAAGTAACTAAACAAAAGCAAAATAGACCCCTTTTCACTAAGAAAGCACGGAAAAGAATAATTACATCATTGTAAAATATTTTTAAACAATTTGAAAAAACATCCAAAAATATTAGTTTGATAGAAAATCCATCAACAACATTTTGGATGTTCAGCTGAGGGAGTTTGATCCAACAGCCAGTAACCTGGGAAAAGACTGTTCCTAATCTTAATTACCTTGTTTTAAATACCAAAGCTTTTATGGAATTTTTATATGGGCTAAAAAGTTTTTTAATTTAATTTAATCAAATTAATGTCAGTTAATTTTATTTTAATACATACTTTTAAAAATGTCGTTTTCGGACCCTGAATTGTGTTATTTTTGAAAACTCAAATGAATAAGTTTATAATGTGTAGTAATGCAATAATTAAAAGCAGTCACTGCATGTAAAAATGACATTTCAAGGCAGTCACTTGGAAACATTGTGCAAGAATCAGTTTGTGTGTGTCTTGACACACTAACTTGTCACTTTCCTCCAACCACTAAATGTGCCGATTAAATCTCCTGCTTTAGTTACAACGTGACCATTTTTCTAAATGCCGTGGCATTCTGTTTCTCTTCGGTTATTTTCATGAGCGTTAGCACAAAAAAAAATAAAGTATTGTCTGTAAAAACAAATCAGAAGATCAAATTTACGTGACTTACTTGGCATTTTACAATGAGACACGGGTGCACACAGACAAGCATGTGGAAACGAGGCATAAAGACCATTCATCCTCATTGATTAGTGACGGGGAGATGTCCAAGGAAAGAAAAACATGTCATGCTGCAGAATGACAATTGATTTCTAAAATACAGCAAATATTTGTTTTTGTGCATTTTAAAGAAGCTAAGTGAATTTATCCCTTGGCTGGTGCTAAATATTGGCACCTGTATTGATCAGCAAACTCTTTGAAGAGTTGGTGAAATCAAAGTAAAGCAAAAAACTCATTTGATCACTTGAAATGTAACAGCATTCCACTGCAAATTTGGAGCTGCTGTTCCATTGCCCAGCAAAAACCACTATTGACCCTCTGGCTTCATAAATATCAGATTTGCTAAAACATTTAAGAGACTAGACTTAAAGTCTTAAACCTGCCAGCTATTGTAAAGCATGCTGATAAGAATTTTCTGCCTTGAACAAGAGGAGCATATAGCAGAGAATTTCCTAAGTGATCCTCACTGCTTAGCAGAAAATAAACTGTATTGACAAGATCCTGGATTGATCAAATAACATAGGCCCTGAGCACAAACAAATTGAGATGGAATAGATCGTTATGGGACTGAGGTATGTCAATGAATGCTACAAAATACATGTTTTATCAATCAGCAGCAGACGGTTCACTCTTATCTGTCATGGTGCCAGGGGATATAGCAAAGTCAGACAAGACAAACAGACCGATGCAATAAAAAAAAGAAACATGCCCTGTTTTTCTGTTTGAAGAGCCCTGGTGGAAGAAGGAAGAAAGTAGAAGACGGGATAAGAAATGAACAGGTGTAGTTACAGGGCATCTTTGGTCTTCACCTGTCCTGAGATGTGAAATGGGGCACTTGTGTGCAAAGTCAGACTGGACAAAATATTCAGCCAACTGGGAAGGAGGTGAATAAATTCCTTCAAATATACAATTATTTCCTTAAAAATAATTGAAAGTTGTGCTTTCTTTGATGCTAATTTTCCTCAATTTGTATTAATAATGATCCAGTTTTGCATTACAGTATTTACTGTGTCAATACGCATTATCATCACTTCAGAATCTCTCCATGAGATAGACAAATATAATATTGTTCAATAAATAATTCTTCTATGACTGAAATAAATTTAAAAAGACCCCAGGCACACCTTAGAGCAGTTAGCCAACTTTATTTTTGTGACCCAGTTAGCAGAAAACTCTTATTCAATTACACAAACAAGGAAAAGAATAAAAGGTTTTCCATCATAAAGCAAAACTACTGAAGAAAATACATTTTGAATTTAGCCTGCAACTGATAGAAAGGGTATAATTTGGAAAATCCAATAATAATTTTATTTTTTTTCATTGATCCTAATGTATTTATGGGTCCAAACCTATTTCCTTCCATCTTTCTTTGCAATATCTACCAAACAAGCACAGTCGAACATTTTTGGTCTGAAGTCACATATTGTATATTTGAACTGATTTCTTAACTCTAAACTACTCCAAACTCCAAGCTGACATACTTTAGAAAAGAAAAAAAAAAACAAAGATGCAGCGACATGACTAACAAATTTGATCATGCTTCGAGTTCCACTTTCTGTGACGCTTTTAAACTTCATCCTTAGCATGCAGTAAATTTTCATCCCAGAGTGTATAAACTAAGGAATTGAAACATTGTGATGTTCCCTTGGAACATATTCAACAGATACATGTACTTAAACACTAACTTTGCTTGCAAGATCATTGAAAGGAAGAGTTTGACATTATTCTTGTTGTTTTAGAGCTCTGACTGACACTGTCATTACATCATTCCTGCACGAAAGCCCAACCAGTGTTTCACATGTTAAAAAAAAAGTGTTAACTTTGCTTGCATCTTTACTTTAACTTTGCATCTATAAATGTCAACAAATACAGAGTGGAGGGATATAAAAAGCCTATGTCATTTCTAATTTGAACATCTAATGCTGGACAATATGCCAACTAAGCTAAGAGATCTGGCATTGTCTGACATTGTCTTCCCTTTCTTCATTCTTTCCTTTTCTTCAGTTTACAAGGCAGAATAGAAAGGCTTTATATTCCTGAATCTTTTTTTGGCACATGCGCTCAATTGTTGGTTCCTTCACTCACTTGCAAGACACACTATTTTTCCTATCTTAACTGTCAGTGAAAATCACCAGCTCTGTCCTTCATGATTTTCTTAAAAATGAATGACAGCCACTGGGCGTTCACAAAGGGAATATGGATACTCTTCTCTGTTACATTATGTTCCCAGCTGTAAACAAAGGCTAGGATGATTCCAGAGCATGTGCTAAACCAGAGGGCAAAAAAAAATCCTCAATAAGCATGCCGGCGAAGGTCCTCTCTCAACAGTGACGTTCCGAATTTCCAGTTTGTGTAATGCTGTTATGACATTTACCAAAAGGATTTCATGAGTTCTCAGTTCAGCTCATCCTTATTTTATTGAAGACCATTAGTGGGTAACTGAAAACAATAAGGATCCCATTGGCTCCGAATGGATGCTTTGAAATTGGTTTAAGCCAAGTTTTCACCTTAAAATATGTTTGCACTGTACGCTGGAGTTTCTGGGGATGCCTATAAACCTCCCATTAGCTCCACAGAGCTTCTGAAGTTTTAAGGATATGACTAATACATGAAGAATTCATAAAGTCTGCCAGTTTCTTTTTGGATTCTTAAAGCCTGTTGCCGATTTGCTCTTTTGAAGTCTCTCAGCTTGGCAGTATGTCTCATTAGCAGGGCTGTTTCAACAAGGCTCACTGATGTGTGCGTGTGTTGCATAGGAGTGCGGGGACACTGGAGAGTGGAGATCTGCTGGCTTTGAAATCAATGGTTAGCGTGTCACGCAGATGCTTGCAGCTCTTACTCCGTGAGTGAATACTAAAGGAAAGGTCTCGTAGTATAGGATTATTGCTGAGGCCATTTGTATTAAAGTATCCTGTATTTTTATGTGTGTCAGAGCATGTGTGCTGCTTCTGGCCTTTATTTTCTATTGTGTATTCATTTTAAAGACAGCAAGTGAAATATTCATCGATTTTTTAATGATGAAATTAATGGGGAAAAAACAACAAGAGACAGCGCTTAGATTAGAGACAGTGAATTTCGATTCACCGTGAAGAGTTTTATCTTTTCCTAGTGAAACACGCCGCTGCCATTAGCAGAACTGATCTTTTAGGAAAGAATCTGCAGAATTGGTTCATTAGGTAGCCACGCTGAGCCTTTTTTATTGGAATTCCTCATTTAATACACCAAGTATGCAAATGTTTTCCTCTGGATCATTCCTTCACCAAAAACAACACTTTAATTAGATTTTTAGTGATGTTTAATATATAGTAGTTTTTAGATTGAAGTGTCCTCCAGATAACACTTTAAGGACAAATTCAGTAAATTAATGATCAATTACTCCAGCACCAAATAAGATTGTTTACTCTTTTTGTACATTAGACAATTCTTTTTTTTTTCTTCAGATACATTCAATGCCGTTTGAACCCATTCTGTTTGATCAGAACAAAGTCAATACCGACAGTTCAGCTGCCAGTTACACTCACTCATGTTTAACACAAGATTAGGAAAGCCCACCTCTCACAAAATTCAAGGACATTTTCAGAGGGTTTCACTTTATCTTGATGCTAAAAGTCCATCATGCCTGGACATACAAGGAACCCAAATTTAAAAAACACTGGACATGAATTAACCCAATAAAGACTCAAACATTCTTTTTAGGATTACTGACATCTATTTAGCTGACAGATAGGCATGGAGATACCTTTTGTCTGGGAACAGAGGATACTGACAGTTTTATAAAGAGAAATTCCTTTCCATTCCTCAAGAATACTTGATTTTTCCTTTTAACCACCATTGATCATTTTTATCTGGTTGTGTTGTGTCATGGTGGACCATGCCAAAGCTTTTCTAAGCTTTGGCTTTGTCCTCCTCTTATACCCACTTACTGCCCTTTAAACTACATTATCTCCATGGTAAGGTTTGTCACTCTCCCAGATCCAATATACACCTCTGCATTCATGGTACCCCCATATGCATCTCCACACAGTCACTTTTATTCTTCTCATCTTTTGCATATGGAACACAGTGCAAAATGTCAAACAGAGCTTCATTTGACGACGGCATTTTCCACCGTTGTTAAAGTGTATTTACAAAGTTCGATGTCAACTGTCTTTCTGTCCCTCTGAGATAGGCGTATATCCACGAATTTGAGAAATGTCCTTTATGAAATAAGTTTTCAGGTCACATTTCTGAGTGAAGCAGTAGACTGTGTTACACTAAAATGGGTTTCAAGGTACACCTTAGACTTAAAGATTTGAAAAATATTCAGACACTTTGACGGTTCTTTTGAAGGTGTTTGGTGAGCCAAAACCTCTTCTTGCTTAAAAAGACATAGACTTTCTTGGACTTTCATTTTCATCACAATCCTCACTCCCTCACCTCTGTTACACCTGTAAGTGCAATGCTGCTTCAAATTTTGCTTTCTTAAGAATATGTTTTTAGAGTGTTGAACTTAAACATAGTTTTAAAAAATCGACAAATAATAAAATTAGGCTTATGTTGTATTTCAGAAATCATGTTAACTTTTTTGTAAGTGTCTTCTCTACATTGTGAAGTACGTTGAGTATTTTGGTGGAAGTTTGGCTTTAAAACAATTTCCCACCACCTTGCATTTGTTTTTTGATTGTTTTTTAAATACATTTCTTCCATCTGATCACAAACAAATAGGTGATTCTAATCAAAACTTGTGCCATTTCTGTGCCTAATCGTCTTATGTTATTAGTGTTGGAGGAAATTAAATGTTATTACAATATTTCACAAGTTTACACTCGTTTACAGAAATGTGTCATTTGGGTAGGCGTTTACCAAGAAGACTAATCATATCTAGTCAGAGGCTTTTCCACTGACACCCGGCATTAATAAGCATTTGTATTATCTTGATTCTTCATACAGTGTAATCAGATCGCATTATGCAAAAACAGTAGGTGGAGATGGTAGGCTCGTTGACAAATCTCTATGTTGCTGCGCCCTGTCGGAGACTTGTGCAGGCTGCTGAGAGGAAAAGCTTGAGCGAGTAACTAATTATTGCCCTCTTGCTGTTGCTTAAAAATGTGAAATGTTCCATTTTTTTGACTTGTTTGACTCGGCTGTTGGAGAGGGATGTTAAATTCCTCAAAATTCCCAACTTAATTCCCCAATTCTGGGCTGACTAGTTCATAGCTGGAAGTTTAAAACAATAGAGCATCCAGGGAATGGGGTGCTCAAAATTTTGGATTTGTATTTGATTTTTGAGTGATGGTAAAATCTGTGAGGCAGATCACATGTTCAGGTGAAGCTTTGGGTTATTTGGTTCTCAACTTTTTTTTGGCGTGTCACCCACCCAGCAGGAGCAAACAAGAGGAGTAAACACTCCTGCTGAAAACATTCTTAATCACTACCTTAGATTGGCGAAATAAGGGTTGCAGACAAGCAGTTACCATGGGTGCAGAAGCAAAGAGTAAACACAGGCTTGAGAAGCGGGTTGAGATGCTTCATAAACATACTTGTGCCATGAAGCTGTCATTCCCTCCTCAGTGTGAGAGGGAATAAAAAAAGAGATGCCAGGGCCTGCTCTGCCTTTGCTCATCTTCTGCTGAGTGACAAAGGACAGCTCTCAGATGATTGGATGAAAGGGACTCCCAGGGTGTCGCAGACACCGCTCACCATGTGCTCTCGATAAAGACATCAAGACCTCTGCTTTTCATCCATGCTGCTGTTTGAGGAAGATTAGCAAGCAGTGCTTTGTTTACAATGTGTGAATATGATGTCATGTATGAGTTTCTGCTCACATGTACCATCATAGTTGAACGTGAAAATGACATACACGTTCAAGAAAAAGATTTTATAGAGGGCATATGAATTAACAACAGGTGTTTGCCAGTAGGCAAATTGGGACTTTTTGTGTTTCACTTTGCTGGAAGACTTTATGCAAAATACTACACTAGCTGCTTTTTAATAAATTCACATGGATTCTACTTTGTAAGTCACTTTGTATAAAAGCATCTGCTAAATGCATAAACATAAACATTAAAGACTCCAGACTGCTGTTAAAGACAAAAACTAAGCATAAGGTTTGTCATCTGGGAAACATCTTTCTGTCACACATGCATTACAATTTTCCCTCTGAAAGGACCAAACTCACTGCCTTAAAAGTGAACTTTGTAGTTGTTTGGCCGTTAAAGTAAGGCAGATAATTTTCCAAAATTTGCCCTACAATTGTAGATTACATACAATGATAACACCAAAGTGTTTATCTGTGGTCTCTAAAACCAAATGGAATTTCTAGTTTTCACTGTTTGGTTATAACTGTCCTTTTAACCATGGACCTTAAACTCAAAATAGAGACTGTGCACAAATGGGCCGAGCAAGACAGTAACTGCTGGGAATTTAATAGAAAGAAATAGTTGTTTTACACAGATGGTTGTTTTGCAGCAGTTGTTTATGCTGAAACACATTTTCAGTCTTGCTGTTGTTCATATGGATTTAGCTGAGCATTTCAGAATCAGACAATAGCATAATTGTTTCCCACCAGTGTGTTCTGCTATTGTATGTATTCACCAAAGCCGGGTCAAAATATTATTTGAAATCCCCTGTGGTTTACCAGCTGAACAGACATATACACAAAGTGCTCACAGGACACACAAGGCCAGTGGTGCCTTGCAGGGCTTAGCTTTTGAAAACAAATATTTCTTGCTGAATATATTTAATTTTTTTCTTCTAGTGTATTCATTCAATTTAGCCTCAAGGTCTAACTACAGTTTGTTTGATTCATCCCTCTGTTTTTGTGTCTGCAGTCCCTCCAGTGTTGTCAGTGTTCCAACAGTCCTTTAATGCCACAGCTGACTACCAGGAATCGGTCACCTTTACTTGCATCACTTCTGGATCTCCTGATCCAGTGGTCACTTGGCACAGGTAACTTCTGCATTTTTTCCCCATCACTGAACCCTGACCTACATCTCAGACAGATCCTTTGTGTGAGAAAAACATCAAGCTTTGAAAACAAGAGGGTTAAGTAGACAAGCCAAGACAATACCAATATATTATTCTCTCAAAAAGCACGAGCAATAATCTGCTTCCATAGCAACATGCTCTGTTCTGGGAAGGCTTCCCAGAAGATTTTGGAGTGTGGTTGGAGGGATTTGCTCACATGCGGCAACAAGAGCATTACTGAGATTCAACACTGATGTTGGATGATAAGACCATGCTTGCATTGGCATCTACGTTTATCCCATAAATATTGGTTGAAGTGAAAGATCTCTGAGCTCATACCTGCCGCAGTCTCCAGCATCAAAGCCTGAAAGCATTTCTTAAATGCTTTGTTCACAAGGAAAGGTTCACCCACAAGTTGTTGAAAAATGCACACCAATGTATATATATATATATGGATATCAAAATGGATATTTAAAAGTTATTTATCAACCATTTTTTAGATAAGAAGGTGCATATTTGCCACTGTCCACAATGATTAAAGACGTGTTCATCCTTCATCTATATGCAGATCAAGTAGTTATCCTTTAAACAGTTCTGAATGATGAACCTACCCCCACACATCACCCTGAGCAAAAGCACAATAGTGCCGTGTGCCACATGGCAACAGAGTAAAAATGTGCACCTGAAGAGTATGTGACACCCTGCTATCCTCTCTATTGTTATACATAAAGTCGTTAGCTTGCACCTACTCAGGTAGTCGTGACAAGCTCTTTTCTACCAAGCATCTGTTGATAACACTTTAGTCACCCTTTTTCCTGTGATCCATTTCACTGCTTTTCCTCTTGTTAGGTCATCTTAACGATTTTAAGACCTAAGTCAAGCATTAAAATCACTGTTAGCAGTTTAAGGACTTTGGTGTATTTTATACAATGTGTCAAACTGTTCAATATGTTGAGCCGAGCTCCTGGCAGAAAGCCTCAGACTCAGTTGCAGCTGTGTTGCAGCCAGGCTTCTGTGAGGTTTTTTTTCCATTTTACTGAATTGAATGGCAATCAATGGCTGTCTTCGAGAACAAAAGCAAGACAGTTTCAAAAATCTAAAAATGCTTTATAAAAATGTACGTATATTTGATTTATAGGGAGGGCGACAAAAGCAATATAAGAAACTAATTCTCTTAGTTTTGTAAAATATTGATCATAATGTTTACATTGAATTAGTGGTCGCTGCCAGATGGTCATTACATATGATATATAAAAAACAAGGTTCAGTTGAACTTCCTGTTTTCTTGGCCAGGGATTGTTTGATACTATATTTTTGCTTTCTTACGCAGGTAAATGTTTGAGTCAGTATAATACAGCAGCTTATTGTAGACATAAGAGACAAAAAAATGTATGAATTTGTCAGAAAATCAAAAGGTGTGCAACTCTGCTCTTTCATAATCATCTTCACTGAGTACAGTGAGGTGGAGGCATCGCTCCAGCAATTCATGTGACTCTCATATAATAGGGACCAAAGCTTCTGAGTGTTGGTTTAAAGAGAACTCAGTCATAGCACTGAAAAACAAGGCACGTGCATCACTCTGAAGTACAAACAAAGACTGAAATGCTTCACAGCTGGAAACTACGTTAACTTTGTAAACTTCACTCATGGCTGTCTTTCCATCTCCATCAAAAGGAATTGTATTTATCCCCGGCCTTCTTATACTTATACTTTTTGTTTTTTTAAAAACAACACATACAGTCAAATATAAAGAGCAGATTACAACAACACTGAGTTCTTTCACCCTTAGAAATTATTTCTACAGAATCTCTCGGGTCGATACACCTTGCATGAGTTTCCAAAACAGCAGAATTATACTGCCCTCATCCCAAGTCCAGTTACACATAAGCAGGAAGTCACAACCCAATTTCTCTGTGAATCTCACCTCTCCCTGCATATTCCAGCCTCACAGCTGCGTTTCTTGTCACTTCGAGGTTTCACCTCATCAACAGTGCATCTTTGGTAATGGACTATCTGTCAGCAGCCAGTCAGTGTAATGACATTCAGCTCTGCAGCACATCCCAGACTGTCCCTTCCATAGATGAGCCTCTCTTCATTTCCTCTTTGGCTCACCAGAGTTATTATTACTTGGCTTTGGTGTTTCCTGCGTGGACTTTCAATTATCTCTCCCTGCAGTGAGGCTGAGTCACTTTTTCTCTGTTTTTGTTTGTTTCTGAGTCTGAAAGTCTGCTTATATGGAAACCTGATTATATACCATGGGAAAGAAAATATAGTTAATATATATGTGTGTGTGTGTATGTGTGTGTGTGTGTGTGTGTGTGTGTGCGCGCGCGTGTGTGTGTGTGTGTTTGTGTGTGTGTGTGTGTGTGTGTGTGTGTGTAGCTAAATCTTGTCTACTTTCCTTTCTGTCGGTAGTCGGTCTTCTGTCTTACATTTTTTAATATTTAATGTACACTTGATACATTTAGATGAGAAATATATTATTTCGCCTCCTTTTTTTAGTCCAAACGTATTGGAGAAAAATATCTATATATATAATATATATATATATATATAATATAACTTTTGAAGGTAGGTGTTTGATCATAGCGAGTTTTGGGGTGAGCGAATGGTCAAGACCAAGCAATACAATTTATAAATATGAAAAAAAAAAGGGTACATTGATATATTTTTACTATTTCTTAAGGTGTTTACCCTGGCAATAACATATTAATATCAGTCAATCCAGGTTTTAGAATTTGAACTTCGTCTTCTGGTGTCTGTGAAAATGAGAACTTTAGGCTACATTCTTGGTTAAAAAATCTGTTACTTTTCAGTCTTTTGCACAATGTTTGATCTCACCAATTTAGAAACTGAGCAAATTTTATCTCTTTCAACTTGCATGCAGATTGCATAAAAAGCACCCATGAGTTTGTCTGAATCCTTAGAAGTATGGGGAAAACATCAAATTTATTCGCCAACGTAAGCAATCTCTTGCACCTTGTCCATTACATGGCTGATTAAGCAGCTGCAAATAAACAGGGGGAGGAAGCAAACCTGCTTCTCACCATTATGCTTCTGCTCTGAAGCTTAAATATAGACATCAATCCGTTTAGAGAGTACCCTTCATTTATTCATTTCCACACAGGATCCAAAAGATGTGAAGTCAGCACCATACTGAAGTAATGTAGTTTGAGCTACAGTTCACTATAATCTAAACAACAACATGACTGCTTCTATAGCTACACCAAATAGCTACTTTTTACACCACATCCCAACAACCTTTTGAAATAAATGTCATCCCCCCCAGATGGGTGTTTCTCATAGTCTGGTGGAGAAAAAATAAATTACCCAATATCCAATCTACCATTTTCAAGAACAAATTTTACACCGCATTTTGTTATTGTTTTGTGCTTTAAGTTGTAAAGTTGTATTAGAAAGTATAAACTAAGTATGATTAATCAAATGACTGCTTTTTTATTTGGTTTATATGCTACAGATCTGCACTTAAACGCTCTTTTAAGAGATAGTTTCATACGCAAAGTAAAAATGACACAAATGTCTGACTTCAAACACACACATCCATGCACATTTTGACATAAAATCGTCTATTTGTGAATTTGAACAATGCTTTTGATCTTTATTTCTGCAGGAAAGCGCAGCAGCTTGAGCCATCAGATAAGTACATTCTCAACCGACTAGAAGGTGGGCGGAGCATGTTAACCATCCGCAACATCCGACAGGCTGATGGAGGAACGTACTCCTGCAAAGCCACCAACAAGGCAGGATCTCAGGAAAGAGAGCTTTTCCTCAAAGTCTTTGGTAAGGACATTGACCTTCCCTGAATAAAGGCCTCACACTTACTAAATTAAACCTACAAATAAACCACAAGCAGCCAGAAAATCAGGTGAACTTTATTAATTTGACAACAGTCGAGGACAGATTTATTCATCCTACATCAGTAAAAGCTGGGAGATTTTCACCTATTTATGAGGGGCTGTCTGGGCATGTTATTGTACATTTATTCCTATTTAGTCTGCCTTTGAATTTCTTTTGGGACATGCAGAATTTCAACAAAGAATTGCCAAGACACACTCTGCATGCCTGTACTGTACATTTTTGGCTTTCCCCGAAACTGGGCAAGCATTTGACTCTGTCATCTTACATTTTTGCAATTCATATATGATACAGTTCAGGTGTAAACATTTTTGTTTGCTTTATTGAACATTGCAGCACTATAAATTGTATTTTTGCCTCTAAATCACCTCTAAATAGACAGACTTAAAATGATAAGGCAAGTATTACATTCTGCTCTTATTAACATTTAAAGTTACCCAACTCTATGTATCTCTATAATTTTGTTGTACTTTCAGTTAGGTGGAGCTTTCCAACAAACAGGCATCTGAACAAGCCAGCAAATAAAAGCAAAACTGAAGCACATCTTTTTCTGCCCTCTTCCTAATAAAACCCCAAATAACTTGAAAGAGAAAAAGATTTTATTCCATTATCTGGGCTTTTGTGCACTTCTCCAGATTCCAAATGTAATAGCGTTGTCCATGACTGTGAAGAGTGTTTTATGTTTACCCATAAAGTTTTATCGTGAAAACATTCACAAATTCCATTTTATACAAAAACTGTTTTTCAAAAGCATAAATGTCCAAATATGGCCCTCAGCCCTCACCAATAACGGCTGCATCTATTTGATGAATTTGTCCTGAAAAGAAATATTTCATTTATTGCTTCATATCTCTGTTGCTGCACCCCTCATAAAAAATTTCAATTTATATTTTCATAAACCTGCTGGCTGTTTCCCATCAGATCAGTCTGATATTCTGCTCATGAAAATATATGGGGGTCTTTGCTCTAGTCATCAACATCCTTTCGAGAAGTGGGAAGCGCTTGTTCTTCAAAATGCACATTTAAATGGAGAAGTTAAAGGGGGAGAAAAGAGCTCTGCTTGTGACCGTGCAGAAGAGAGATGGACTTGTACGTTAGTTTTATTACCTTTGACAGCAAATTCCTAATGAATGCAGGAGGTTATTTACTGTAAGTTGGACAAGATAAGTGCAGGTGTGTGCGTGCTCCTAACTCTATATTCATCTCTTGTAAGTCCCACTGTGTTACTCTCATCTGCAGTTCTCTTAAAAATAAAGTTATTTCTGGGTGAAGACCGATTACCCTGCTCTACCCCCAAATGGCTTATGGAGAAGCTTGATTGAAGCCAGTTCGTTTTTGTTACGCATTGAACACTTTTACATCTCGGGGCTCAGAGTCAGGACAGTGTGCCCTCTGACACATCCCTAGAGCCGTTAAAGCCAGCAGTCTGTCAGTCTCCAGGGATTATTTCATCTTCTCTGGCTCTCGGGCTCTGACTCTTGTGTGGCTGGAGGAAACAAGCCCACTCCGTTGGGGAATATCTACATGCACAACCCCTCCTGGTTAGAGATGCTACTAGCATGGCTCGAGGGATACCCCATGAATACATCCACAAAATCATACCAAACTAAAAAAAAGCCCACCAGTTAATCACCGAATTTTGAGCTCACTGGAAACTGATCGGTGAGACTCGCTAGCGTTGTCTTGTAGTTTTACTCAGGACACTTTGTTCCAAAGTTCCTATTAATGCCCACTACAAATTAAACTGACATGCATTTGACTCTGTCATTACCAAGCATGGTCCTAGATTAAGGATTAGTTCAACATGCTCTTTTGTGTTTGACTAAAGGAATGGTGTTCATTTAAAGCCCTTTTCCCCTCACATACGAGTTTTACCTCTGACATTTACCATCAGCCACAAGTCCTCACACAGGCAGATATGCAGGTCTTTATGAGGTGAATTTAGCAGCTTCTCAAAGTGGGATTGTTTTTAGTAGAACATAGGCTGCCCCATGCTGTGAGAGTTTGTCCAATGTTTAAAATGATAACATTCATCTGGCTTATTTTGTTTTTTTCTCTTTTCAAAAGTATTGACAACTAAAAACATGAATTGATTACGTAAAATGTTTCAGCTGCCAAAAGCATCAACAGTAAATGTCAGGATTGGTAAAACAACCAGAGTCTTCTTTATAGGTTCTGTTATTTCCAGCTGGCATGCAAAGTGAAATGCTTCATGAAAGAGGAATTAAAAAATATTTCCTCAGTAATAATCTTACTCTGCAGAGATCTGCTGCTTATTATTTTGAATTATTTATATATTTATTTTAAGATCTTTTGTCACTAGTGTGTAAAATGCAGCATTTCCTTTAATGGGTTTTCATGTCATTTGAACAAGTTGGCTGAACGCCTCATAGCATCTCTCTCATACTCATTGATTGGTGCAAACTTAGGACATACTATCCTCTCTTATTTGAGTAAAATATGAGTGAAGGAAAAAGATTAGTGGGGAAAGTAAATTACTTTGCTTTTCACCTGATTGATTGCGCATCCACTAAACTGAAAATCATGAACTGATGAAATATTTCGCAGAATCTCTCTCGACTGTGGATTTTTAGAGTCAGCATCGGGAGAGAGAATCCAACCTGACATTTCTTTTGCATAGCTTAAAATAACAAATACACATGTTGCCATTATCAGATGCAGTCGGTCCGACATTTTACATTCTGATATCTGTCTGTGGGTGGGATGAGAGCTTTATACTGTATAATGTCAAATATTCCTGTGGGGAGAGTGAAAATACAGCTTACCTTTAAATAGAAGCTTAAATGGTGTGCAAGTAGCCATTTTAAGTAGTCTGCATTGGTGTTTCGTAAGTAAACAAAGATCTGAACTATAAACTCTGCCATTTTCTGGCTTTTTGACACATAATTGGCTTTTTCATTGGTTGAGGTAAAGGTTAAACCATCTTTTTCATCCACTGAGTATCACATCTCCCACTGTGAGTTGTTAATTGCAATATTTATAATTATAATTTTGATACTTAGGAATTAATATGATAAAATGTTATTAGAGTGATGAACAAATGCCAGAGCACAATAACCCTGTTTTTAATTACAGAAGGTTAATAGGTTTACATTTACATATCAAACGTGAAAATCAGTTCTCTGTATTTGTTTTTTAATCTTTAATTGCATAAATACTTTAGCATGTTGAATTTGATTATATTAGAAAATACGTTGTTATTAGCATTCGTTACGTAAGACATTTTCCATTAAATATTTCCTTGATAACGGCCATCTGGGCACAAAAGCTTCAGATAAGGTGAAGATGGTAAAGTGGAGCAGGCCTGGGTCCCTACTGTAAATGTTTTGTTGATAATGTATTCTTCCATACATTTGCATTTCCAATACTCTTACAGGAGCTGTAATAGATGTAGATAATCCTCAGACGTCCCTCTCTGCAGAAACCATGGCAGCAGTTTAGTCTCATTATGAGGCTTTGTACTGACAGCTTTCCTCTCTGTCAGGACACATAATTTCATGGCTGTGGGGTCAGGGAAAATACTCGGGATTCTGAATGGGCTTTGATAAAGGTCAATGATTTGTTTTACAAACATTCAGCTTTATTTTTATGAGGAAAACCAAGAAGTCAGACTCATATGGGTTAGTTTTATTACAGCATTTGCCACACTTTTAGAGGACTAGCGTTTGTGTTTAAATAATTAGTGTAACTTGATCCATCACACTTGTTGGACACGGTGTCACAGCTGAATCAAAGCCAGATGATGCAGTATTCTCATTTATTTAAAATTTTGGGGATTTAAAAAAGTATAAAGTCCTATTACATTTATTGTGAAAAGAAAGCATGTTAATGCTTAACAAAAAGAGATAAATGTTATTTTTAAACCTGGTCATCTTCCAGCTTTAGGAAAGGAACACTGCTACATCTGGTGGGAGAGGATACTTCTGTATCTCCTGCCTGGCAGCAGCAGGATAAGCAGAGTGTGGCTGGGTGACTTTCATCCCTCTGTGGCCTTTGAGCTCTGCACAGATACATCACCAATATTCCGATGCTCAGTGGATAGGTACTACTGTGCAGTGTCCTTCATTTCCAGTGTCAGTTTGTGATATTTACAGTTGGGATACCCTCGGATGCTCCTCTGTAAAAAAGGAACTAGAACTTGACTTGAAAGTTATTCATGCGGTGAGTTTTAAATGGCCACTTTCTTGATGTCGCTGTCTGACTCTCCCTGAATTACTAGAATTCTGGACGTAAAAACTCTGCAGGTCACGTTACAAGGCATATTATAAACCTAAGTTCTTCGTTTGTTGTGCTCCTGTCAGTTTGGACCCAGTTGCAGGGACGGCACAGACGTCCCTTACCTTGCTTTGTTCTCCTGAGTTTTCAGTGAGCTTGATTAAAAATGGGCACAAACTACCTGCAGTGTTATAGTTTGTGTCAAACATAAGAACCCCATAGTCAATAAAGTTCACTTATTTAGTTTTCATATTGACTTATAAAACACAAGAACAGGACCATCAATAAATAAATCCAAACCATCAGGAGATTGGTGTATGTCTGGTTTTATTGAGCTTAAATAGCTTCTATTCCTACATCATTGATCTGTTTACAGAAGGTGCTACAGGGTGAAGTAATACGTGTGTATTTTTGTGTATGTTTGTTTGACCCCATGTTTTGACAAGCTGCCCAAATCCCTTGAGATGGCTCCTCCACCCCACAGTCGAAGCCATGTGAAATTGCCAAACACTCCCAAGATTTCCCTGGGGCTGTGTTAAAAGCCTTCAGTACAGTAGTCACTATTTTCTTTTCACCTCCCTTTTTCTGTTGGATTTTATTCCACTCCTCTTTGAAAGCTGTCTGTTAGAGACTCACGTGCAGTGTGTGAGTGATGGGGAAAAAAAAGAACTAGTAATCCATGATTCATGTTGCATGGTCTTTGCCCTTGACATGCATCGGGTGTCAAGGCTTCTTTAGAGCATCTTATCAGTGTGGTGTGCAGGGACCAGGCCTTTGCAGCACATTTTCAGCACTTATCTGCACTTAGTGCTCACTCTACACCCAAAGTAAATCACAGGGTATTGGAGAGACACCTTCCTAGACAAAAATCTTTATTTATTTGGAATATAAAAGGTTGAACAGTGGTTTTGTGCCCAAAAACTTCAGCAAAGTTAGTTTTCTGCTGTCATTGAGGTCACAGATTCCGTACACAATAGAGGCCATGCTTTCCTCCTGTATTGTTCCAATAAAGTATTATTCTGGTGTATAAAGAATTTTGGCCTATACTGTCAGAACCAAAGTCATGCATCGGCTCTATACGCCACGGTATAACTTTCATCTACTCTCCCTTATGAGTTACATCCTTGACAGTTTCTCTTTCTCCTCTCCCTCCACCTTAACATCTTCTCTGCCCTTCTGATCTATTATTCTTCAATCTCTTATTAATCTTTTTTCTTCTTCTCTTACCCATCCCCTGTCATCCTCTGTGGCCTCCAGTCCAGCCCCATATCACCCAGCTGAGAAACGTGACTGCAGTTGAGGGCAGCGCCGCCATGATCTCCTGTGTGGCTGAGGGTGAGCCTCTGCCTGACATTTCCTGGAGGAGAGCCAGCGACGGCCAGTCCTTCATGGATGGAGACAAGGTAATAGCTGCCAGAAAGTCCATCTGGCTCATGCATGTGGGTGCTTCATCATATGTCATGTGCTACACCTTCAGCAGGAGTGCTAGCAAATAGGATACAACTCATGAGAAGATTGTGTGAGGCTAATCAAGTTTGCATCTCACATTTGTAAATTCTTTTCATTAAGGAGAAATGTGAGTAAAGATGGTTTGATCAGTAAAATAACTCATTAGAGGACGAGGAGGGTGAGGATTAACCTACATAGGTTGCTACTCATATCAATCTCATTTCCAATCTTACAATTGTGTATACATGTTATTGCTCATCAACTGCATATTTCCAGGGTGACGATAGTTGTTCGTTGACATAATTGTATTCATTTCATGGCTGCCATTTTGGCACAACAGATGGCTCAAAGTGTTAAGATTTATTCTGAGGTTCAGTCACCATTGCCATGGGAATCTAAACACTTTTTTGGCAAAACAATGTGACAAAATGCAGGAACATACAAAATGCATCTACATATCTTCAAAGAACTGAAATGTAAAACCTTCTCACATGAACAGACCAAACTGGGGGCAGATTTTCTGTGATAATTCAATATGGCCTCCCTGCTAAGACCATTCTTCTGTTCTGTAAATGCCTGAGCCAAATTGAACTGAGGATGTTTTTCATCATTTAATTGAATCTCCATAATGAGTTTTTGAGAGGTTTCACTTAAACAAAAGGGACTGTCAAATTATACCAGCTCGAAGAATATTGTGAAATCATGTTTATGTTATGTAAAGATTTTTCTCACTGAGATTTTAGTTCTATGAGCATCAGGAAAGTAACCATTTTAAAATGTACATTGCGAAAAAACAATATAGGACGGGACAGTCATTGCCTTATGCCAAATATATATATATATATATATTAATTATTTTATTTTACTATTTTTCTGAATGGAAACAAAGATAACGGCCCTTGCTCAGAAAGAGGTCATCAAGCAAAGAAATGAATGTGTGCATTCTCTTGAATCGCTTGAGTTGATAAATCGCAGCTGAAATGAGAGTAAGTGCTTCTCTTCCAACTGCAAATGCAATTATGGAAATGCTCGGTACAGACAAGCACACCTAAACAAATGCAAAGCCAAACGTGACTTGCGCAGTGGAAGCCATGATCGATGGCAGCAGTCATTTGGGTTTAAGACAGGATGTTCGTCTCTCAATTTACTCTCCAATCTGCATATCCAGTTTTCACACACTCATCTCTCACTGAGGCGTTCAGCTCCAAAAGGCTTAGTTTTACCCACTATATAATGTTGCCTCCCGTCTTCTCTCTCTTTGTCAGCTAACACCGTGACCCTTTGTAAAAGAACATAATGGGAAGCAGTTTGTGGAATTTAATTATGAACTGAAGAAGGATTAGAGTTGGAGTATTGCTTCTTTCTCTGGGTTTGTTTTTCTTTTGAGTAGAGTTGGCAGTGTGGTGATCTATTCAGGCCAAACACCCATGGTTAAAGTGGCGCTGATATTAAAGGTCCACGCTTTTCTTTAGATCTTACTCTTGGCATAATCCCACTTTTAAAAAAAGCAGTCTCTTTAAATCATTTAAAAATATTTTTTTAATATGACAGTTCTAAAAGTTTTTAGGCTTCATTTTCTGTGGCTGTGGACCCCGCACACCAGGAAGCAAATGTTACCAGACTCATTATGATCTTGCAAAGAGTAGAAATTAGTTGGAAGAGAAGCATGAAATTGTCCAGTGTTGCCACACTGCATCATGTTCTTCCGAGACAGATCCACCTCTTCTCCTGAGTATATCAGGGTGTATCCTTCTTTTTTGTCTTCTTGCTTGGGAACAAACTCTGATCTGACTGTGAGATCCAATGGTATTAGTCATGCAAGGAAATTATCAAACACTAATTAAATGTTGTGATGATAACATATAATTGTAGTTACAGCAGTTGAGAAATAGCTTTGATAATGGAGTCTGCACCGGTGTAATATTTCCATCCCTGGCGGCAGTGTAGTGTTTTTCAATTTTATTAAGATGACTTTGACAGCATCAATACATCAGCTACAGTATGTAGGTCGACCAATAAAAATATAAACTGTATGTAACAGCTAAACTTGTTGATATTTTAAACAGGCTGCATTTTATCGCGTCCATTTCCAATCCTGAAAAGCATGGTTTTAATTTCCAAATAAAATCTTTACTGAGTATTGACTATCTCAAATATTATTTTCTGAAAATACTTTGAGCTTTTTTTATTTATCTTTGCTTCAGCTACTCAGACTCAGGAAAAGCTATGTGGTTATTAAACACACCAACGTATTAAAGAATTTCATCTTTAAAAAAATGAAACCTCCCATTCAGATTAGTTTTGAGGTGTTTTACTTTTCATTTGATTCTTTTCCACTGCAAAACTCAGTTTAAAATAGTTCATTGAAATATTTAGCAAATCACAGGCTCGTGCTTTTTGTATTTAACAGCTGGTTGGCCTGTGTTTGCTTGAACCAAAATGTCATTTTTAAATGTAATTTTGCTATTTCTATTAGGTTAAAGCAATACGGTATTCATTAAAATGGTGCAAATATGAGAAGCATGTGTTCAAAACTAACATTCAACTCTTGTGATATGTTGCCTATATTTTACAAGTTAAATTTGTACTATTTGAATGTCCTCAAATAGCTGAACTGAAATAACATCATAGTTTCTGAATCCATTTGGAGAGAGATTACAGAGTTAGCCATTTATTTTTTCTTATAAACACAGACAAATAATCATTTGGAGGTCTTATGGATCAGATGTGAACAAAATATCAACCATTTCTAGCCTCATTTTGTCTACCTGCCTCACCACTTTCATTTTTCTATCACATTTTTCTTTCATGTCTTAGCATTCATGTGGTTAGCCCTCAAATGTGCACAGTACCTGCAACAAGCATCAGCATGCATGCCAATGGACACCCGCAGGCACATGCATGTTGCTTTTGTGTTCAAATCTGGCCACAGGCTATGTCTGTCTGCTGAGCAGCATATCAAACAGGCCATGCTTTTGGGGCAGAGTTCGTCTCCAGACACAGACTCTGTCAGTTGGCAGAGGGTTAGCTAGCAATTTCCTGACTCAGATGCTCTCTCTCATCCCTTCATCCACAGCATTCCTATTCAACACACACTCTCCCAATCCCATTGACCTCAGCTGGCGATGCAAACAAAAAAGTCTGCAGAGACAGCACAAAGGGACCAGTAGCAACCCTTTAAAGGGCAATTCACCTCGTTAGCTGATTGCATTGTGATGATAAGATGGAAGATGAGCCATTCTAAACAGGATAATGCGAAGCAGTCTGTGAGCAACGACATAAAGAGAGAGTAATGCAGAGCAAAGCAGATCAGAGCTGTGGAATAGAAACATAAAGGGAATAAGTAGAGGTGGGGGGGGGGTCAGAGTAAGCCATTGAAAAGGTCCGAGTGCGCACCGGTTTATATGGAAAATCTTACGAGGAGGTGTGTAGCATGTGGAAATTAATAAACACACTTCAATATCCAAATTTGTAACTGTTTAGAATGGAGATGCACAGATACTGTGGAAGAAGTCAGCAGGATATGCAGATAAATCCCAGAAAGAAGGGGAGAAAAATGAATATCTGATTAAGTATCATTCCAAAAATTTCAGTGACTTTGTAATAATTGAACCCTTTTTTAGTTTCAGTGTTTTGATGAGATTCTGATGCCAGCAGCCTCTTGGAACGGTGACATCAACTTTTGTGTTTTGTGATTTTTTTAAGCAAGTCATCACAGCCTTACTGATCAGTAATCATGGTCAAAACATTCATCAAACAAACACAAGAGACTGTGCAGAGTCAGATAGCATCGCATTTAACAAATACACAAAATGTTGGCTAAATGATGATTTTAACAGTCATGTTCTTTCAATGATTTAACCCAACAGCTCAACTCCCCTGCTACTACAGTTATTGAGGTTTCTATTACATCGCCTCTAAGTCGACAGGCAGCACGACTTAAAAGTACTTTCAGGGAGGTCAGAGAGGTTATCTGATGGTAACAACAGCAGGTTACAGCCGAATCATGTCTGCAACCAGGATGCTCCTGGGGTGCTTTTTCTCATTACAAGAGGCTGTCGATTACTGGAAAGATAGCCTTGTCTGCTGTAATTGACCCGTTGCTTCAAATTGATACCATCTGTCTTCATACAGATGTAATGACCTTGTAATATATCGACAGTTTATTGCATTAACTCTGACACTGTGTGACAAGTGGTGGTTGCCAGCGAGGAAAGGGGGGTGGTCAAGGATGAGCTGTCCGTCATCCACGAGAGCAAAGTTAGACAAACAACTTCCTGTTGGCAACAAAGCTTCTCTGACACCTGTGCTTTTGTCTTTTCTGCCACTTTATATATCAGGGAAAATATTTATTTTATTTATGAGCCCACTGTTGAGAGCATACACTTCTAAACCCCTCCGTACCACAGGTCTGTTTGGTTGCCTCTTATGCTCCAAATGATCGGCCTCTCATGCCTATTTATTTCAGTTACCGTGGGAAAGTTATAGGCACGTTTCTTTTATTTGGGATCACAAATCAACATCACAGTTAAACTATGTGAGTCCAAACTACTCTTGGGCAGCATAAATTCTGAATATGGAGTTGTGTTGTCTTTATGTTTCAGAGTCGGGATGGCCGGTTTGAGGTTCGTGGTCGCCATGGTAAGTCCGTGTTGACCATCAGCGGGGTGAGGCTTACCGACTTGGGCCGATTTGACTGCGAGGCGCAGAGCAGGATAGGAGGCCACCAGAAGAGCATGTTTCTGGACATTGAATGTGAGTATTTGCATCGTCATCAAGGTTCTGCACGCACTCACAGGTGGTGTTAGTTATGAAACACCTGGTAATTAGACTACTCCAAACACCCACAGCTGAGGTCTAATCACGCCACCCAAGTACAGATGGATTATTAGACAACACACTCCTGGGTGCAGACTTGTTAAAAGCCCCACATCTACCACAAAAAACAAGGCACATGTGCTTTGCATTTCTGGTTGTTATATCTTCATTGTGTGTCTAGTTTTAGTCATGTCCGTGTGTCTGCTTGTGATTTTGCATCTCTGCATTGTCATTTATCTTTACCTTTTTTTTACCCTTTGTGCTCATTTCCTGTCTGTTGTTGTTTTGCGCATCTGCAGTCCTTAAACTGCCTCTTTATGATGATAGTGTTCCATTATATCATTGTGTGTCTGTCATTGTTTCTCAGTGTGGTCCATTTTTTCATTATTTTTTTCTCTGTGATCATTTTCCTTTTTGTTAATTTTTCCTGTATTTTCTATGTCCGAACAATTTTTAACTCTTTTGACTGTGACACTTGGAGGTGATTGTGTAAAATATTTTTAGTTTGGACAGCGGATTTCATTTCTGTTCTCGCTTTAATTCATTTATAGTCTCATTACTTTATGGTCTCTTTTTATGTTATTTTTTCTAGGCATTTTTTTAGGAATTTCTAAGGCTGGTTTCAAATCTTTAATGTTAAAGCTTTTTAGACAAAAAGCAACCTAGAAACAAATCTGTGAATTCTTGCAGACGTGTGCATGTTAAGAAGTTTTACAACTCTTTTTACACTGACTGTTTTTTGCTTTGTGAAAAACAACAAATTATGAACAGCTCATTCATTTCGACACCCCAGCACCCATTCTGCCACACACATAGTGCCTCCAGAAGGGTTAATTAGAGAAAGGATTTCATGCATCGCCTTCCATTTTCTCCCACTGACAGCTCCCCAACCTCCCTATGACTGCACCCATTCCTCAGCACTGGTTGTTCGGGGTTATTTAGCGCGGGCGCTGCCCTGCCTAATGAGCTCTGAAGCAAAGATCTTCATTTTGGCCTGAAGTTATTAGGTTCATTATGAAAGCAACCCAACTGGCTTAACTACACCAGTCCAGAGTGCTGCTCTCAATATCCTTAAAGTTCAGAGGAACAGTAAGAAACAACAATCAAGATGGGTAAACATATTCAGCGAGGGAGCAAAAGAAATATGAATCCTGTTTTGTTTCTGTTCCAATTTGTTCCTCTTCTGGCTGAGGCGACATCTAGGTTCATCAATTCCCTTCAAACTTTGCTTTCCATAAGTCTTGAGTAGTTTGTACTTCGGAACAAAGTTTGATATCATCCTCTGGTTGGACAACACACAAGTACCCACTCCCCAGCCAAGATGTAAAATCGCTGTTGTGCTGTTAACTTGTTTTTCTGGAGGCCCGGCTGCTGGTGTGCCGTGCCCCCCTCTGTAGAGAAGCACAGACTGAGAGTCTGCAGGACTCAGCCAGCCACTGCCCCCAAAATAATGAACTCATTTGCTAAGTCACTGCAGGCTGCATGGGGATAGCGCATCCTCAGCTGTGACAGAGAGCCAGGCATCAATCTCTTTAATGGAATCCTGCAAGTGAGCATAAAACAACCATAATGCCTCGGCGACTGGGCTAGGCTGACTGGGCTGGGAAAAATCCAAACAGCATCTCCTGCCTGTGATCATTCATTACTGCTCTTTCTAATCTGGTGTAAATGAGCCTTTGTTTACATACTTTACTCTTATTCCCCATGCACTTTCAACATTAGATGGATTCAATTAAATTAAATATTTTTATTTTTAGTATGCATCTGCAGTTTAAGAACCATGAATCAACTTTTTCTTTATTCAAAGGATTTCCAGGTAAAACTTAAGTAAGTCATTTCTCTGATTATCCCACAGTTTTCTTTCAAATCCTAACTCGATACAAAGAATTCCAGAAACATTAGCAGTTATTCTTTTTCTTATATAGATCTTGTCTTTGTGTTTATTAAAGATGCTTTGACATACATTTTCTAAGTTTTGGAGTTCATTTCAATATGTTTTGCATAGATATCCCCAAATTTCTGACCAACCACACCATTTATTACTCATGGGAGGGAAATCCAGTCAACATAAGCTGTGATGTGATGTCCAACCCACCTGCTACCATACTGTGGAGGAGAGAGCGCTTCACCATCTCAGAGGGAACTCCCAATATGCACATTCATAGTGCAGATGGAAAATCTGTGCTTGAGGTGGGTACAGATTCCCTAGTTCTTGATTTCACTGGAAAACAAGAACAGAAATAGTGAATTTCGAAAATAAAAACTGATCCGGGTGTGAGATGTTTCAAAATGTAGGAATATAATTGTTCTACTGTGAAAGAACTGAAATGATATTTTGGTTCACAAATAGATTTTTTCATGATTTGTTATATATATTGAAGAAATGGTCTTTATGTATATTGCATCTTTTCATACTAGCTTTTATACTACCTTTTCAGTCCAGCAGGCTTATCCCTTGGGAGGTAATTACTGAGGTTCTGTGTACACATAAGCCCTACATCACAGTTACTGATAACTAGAAAATATTCAATTGATTCTTTTTAGTGGGGTAGGGTTGGTTGATTCTTTCCATAAATTTTATTATCACTTTTTGACCGAACCGTTTCATTTCATATATCACATATGATCATTTACTTTAGTGTCAAAGTTGGAAAATGTTTGATTCCTGTGTTCACTGCAGCATTGGGACTGAAGATTGATAGAGTAAAAATTAACAAATGTTAACAAACAAATTGTTTTTTAGGTTACTCCAATGTCTGACAGAGACTTTGGCCGCTACAATTGCACAGCTCGGAACAACATTGGAGTTCGATATCAGGATTTCATTTTGGCCCAGGCAGGTGAGTGTGCACCATTTCTACTGGTGAGTTAACCCTTTTCCAGTCCACAATGTGTAGAGTAAGGAGTTACCTTTCCAGCAACAGCAACTTCCAGCAGTTTTATAATCCTGTACCTCTCTACTAATGATAAAAGCCTCATTTGTAAATTTTCTGGAAGATAAATTCCACAACAACACCCGACTCTTATTCAGCATAACCTAATCTCAAATAGTGCTGGCTGATTTACCATAGCCCTCACTATTTACTGAAGTACCTCCTAATTTACGGTATTCTAATACACAATAGTGCAGTCCAATTATCTTTAGTGCATATGGAATTGCTCTGGCTGTGGAGAAAAGTAGTGAGAAAAAAGCTGACTTAATATGTAGTCTTACTGGAAACAATGCATTTTTTAATTTGTTTTGACACACAATTCTGCACAAATGAAGAAGCACAATCACACACAGCATACGATATGCCAGTAGGGAGATTGACTCATGTGGGATTTGAAATACTGTTTTCTAACAGAGCTATAGTTATGTCTTTGTACTGGATCAAACTGTTTAGGGCTGCTTTTTGGTTTCTGACATGATCAGATATAAGGAGAAATAAATTATGCATCTGAGTAATAGCGGTAACATAACATATTGAGTTGAGTAGCTACAGAAATGCATCTCCAATAAAAGTAATGGGCACAATATGTATTCTATATAATCACAGCTTATCATTTAAACCCTATATTAGACCAACGAAAACTTCAAAATCAGCATACCGAATGTAGAAATGACAATGATTTAATTAATAGAGGGTAGTCTAATGCCTGTACTCAGTGACATTTTGCAACATCAAAAAACATATATTTAAGAATGCAATTTGCCAGATTTAGTCTATGACTCAGTAAATCAGACTAATATTTTTGTAACTTTGTCTAAATGGTAGTATCTCAGGAACTGCAAGACTGAGAGGTAGAAATTGTTGCACTGAGATGAATACTGAAGGACAAATCCTCAGTGATCAGCCTTTTGCTTTTATTCCAACACCCTTGTGATAGCCTCTTTTGATGTCTCATAAATGATTAGATAAGACTTATTAAAACAGAGATGATGCATGAGACCCAAAAAGAAATTCAGGAGTGATTTATTACAATTGTATGTAACCATAGTAGCTGTTCACATAGAAAAGCAAAACATTGACTCATGTGTAAAAGTTTGAGAATCTAAATCAATAGGCCATGGAACTATTTGATAGTTGCAAAACCAGTAGCATACCAGTCAGTAAACTTGAAAAAGGAAATTATTGAATGGAAAAGCTGCTTCTATTCGACTTGTATGAATATCTCTAACATTTTTATAGATGTACCATCAAGTCCATACTCAGTTCGTCTGTCAGCCGTCTCCCAGCGCTTGGCAACTGTCACATTCATGAAGCCAGACTCTCACGGAGGTGTTCCCATCAGCTACTATTTGGTGCAGTATAAGGAGATGGGCTCCCAAGACTGGAGGGACATCAAGTCACACAGTGTCCAGAGTAAGTGTACAGATTATTGGCAGTTTGTTACACATTTCTCTGAAAATAACTGAATTGTGCTCCTATAGAGCAAAATAAAAAGAACACTATCATACTCCTATGAACTGAACATGTAGGTATTTTCAGAGTCGTTTTCTGCTCTTGTTAGCAAGAGTAGTCAAAAAAAGGAAACAAGCATAAGAAAATCTATTTGCAAGACTAAAAAATTGTACTCAATTGAATTTACCTAAATTGTAAGCACAAAAAATAAACTGACTCATACACAATATAAACACTGTGGAAAACAGCTAGGTAAAGAAACTTTGGGCTACTGACTAGAGCGCAGTCATCTGAAATACAAGCACAGTTCATGTTCAATATGTGGCAATGCTGAGGATCATTCAAAGCTCTGACTTTGACTCAACAGCATTCCTTCCCTGCCTCCTTTTCTTCTGCTGATTATGTCCTCAAGTCAGAGGCTGGATGAGGTGCTTCTACAGTGGTCAGCATAACCACCCCCCCCTTTGCACTGATAAAAAAAAAGCAGTTTCACAATCCTGCATCATGTAACGAAAAAGACCTGCAGCAAAGTTTTGTAATCAGTAATGATGCAAATTTTCTTTCAAACTTACTAAATTTCTCTCCTTTTTTTGGTGGAATAAAAAACTAAAGGCACATAATTAGTGCCCGCTTAAACATACGTATATATACTCTTAAAACATTCTCTATATGCTTTTTTTTTTATTAATGCTGCAAAAGATTTTTTCTATTCTGTTCTGTAGACCAGCATGTAAACTCAACATCCCTTTGACTAGATGAGAAAAAATAACACAGAAAGAGTTGTTTAGGCGGTGGTGTGGTGGTCAGCACCATTGCCTCACAGCAAGGTTCGATTCCCCAGGGAAACCAGCACCTTCCTGTGAGGAGTTTGAATATTCTCCCTGTGTCTGTGTGGGTTCTATCTGGGTTTTCCAGCTTCCTCCCAACCTTCAAAAACCTGCATGTTAGGTTGATGGTACATTCCAAAGTGTGGTTATTTGTCCTTGCGTCTCTCTGTGTGGCCCTGCGATGGACTGGCGGGACCCTCCAGGGTTTACACCGCCTCTTGCCCATTGACTACTGGGTTAGCTTCCCGTGACCCCATTAGGTTGTGAAAATGGATGGATGGAGTTATTTGTAGTTAAAAAAAAGTCTGTAGAATACTCTTGTTCCATTTTGTGAAGCTCTCAGTTTTACAGTAATTGGAGGTGCATGAATCAGATTAAATAGGATCCCTATATAAGTAGTAGTCTTATGATTCATACCAATTTCAAGCTGGCATCCTCTAAATTTAAGATCAGATTGCCAAAGCCATCCAGATTTCCTTTCTATCTGCCTTTAACTTATATATTTATATCCGTTTACCCCACACACATCAGCTGACACTGATCAAGCATGAGTAGAGGCCTAATTGCATAATCAGTCATGCAATCCTTCAAAGCTTTGGCCCTGAGATGTTGTTGGGACCCAGCAAAACTCAAAACACCTTGTGGGAAAGAGTGCCAGGACCTGTCTGAGCTGAAAGAACGTGCTCCGCCTCTTCTTATACTTTACGACTTCAAATTGATTCCTGAGCCAGCTGGAGGAAAGTACACCACGAGGTGAAGGATGCATGGATGGAAAATGGAAGCCAGAGGACAAATGGTTGGGTGATAAGCAGGTCTGACAAACCTGAAGGGCTTATCACTAATATCCCTCATTTCAGAGTCAATTACAGTATGGAGAAGCAGTGAGGTGAATACTAAACAGCGGCCTAGGCTTTAAGAGTAGAATGCGAAGCACACATGGAGGAAAAGAATGTTAAAGAACAAAAGAGCGGAATTAGAAAAAATAAACCTCAGTTGTGATTGTAATGAGGAATAACAACATAGTTTCCTTCAAATTAGGACTATAACATAAAAAATGTATGTCATGCACATATCACTAAGTGGCATCATATGTAATCAGGGATTCTGCTTCAGCAGAAGCCAACTTGTGCAGGGCATAACCTTCATTGTGATGAGGTGCTTGGACTTGTTTCATCCCAATGTTTTTGCCCAAATTGACGTATCTGCTTATAGTCTGAGCCTTCTTTACCTTAGATTAAATTATATTTTTGTCTCCTGATGTTTTTAGTTCTCTTGCTGCTTTTCTTCGTTGTCACTGTATCTACTTTGCTGTATTTGTTTTCTGGCAGTTTGCTCTTGGTTTACATCTCATCTTGTCTTTTCTCTTTTTTCTCATGTTCAGTCTCCCTGTATCATCATTATTTACCGTCAAATCCAGATGAGATTATGTTTCTTGTTGAAACTGTGTATCATACCGTAATATGTCAGAGTGATAAAAGCAAATTAAAAGAAGGTATGAACCGACAGAATATAACAAAAATGGTTGTTCCACACCTCGAGAAACTGCAAACACATTTTGTGCCTTTACGACAATTTTTTTTCATCTGACCAGCTCAGTTTATTTTCCCCTGCAATCCTTTATAATGACTGATGTCAAAAAGAAGAAATTGCTATGTGAAAGAATTTTTGAAAATATTTGAAAAGTTTTTCAAATTATTAACACAGATTGAGAGTTTACAGTAATTTTGGTCCCATCTCTCTCCAGCCACAGTGGTGCTGACGGGACTGGAGCCCAACACCACGTATGAGGTCCGAGTGGCAGCTGTCAATGGAAAAGGTCAAGGAGAATTCAGCCACATGGAAACCTTCCAGACTTTACCAATCCGTAAGTCATTCCCTAAATTTCCTGCCAATGTTCTACACACTCCTTAAATGCCGTATCCTTAAAAATCCATCTTGGCCCAACTTCTCTCGATTCAAATGATAATGGGTGTTATCTGTAACAATAAAATTTGGCTGAGTTACACTTTCAATTGGGCTATTAACAACTTATTTTCTTGATGTTTAAGTGTGTAAAAATGGTACCTGCAAAACACTTCCAAAATCCATGGAAACATTGGAAAAAGAAGACACTGGATGTGTGAAAGAAATGCATTCGTTGCTGTAATGTGCATTCGAATATTCTGAATCTCAATGAGGTAAAGCTCATTTGCCATCTTATGCAACCCTGGCATATTCAGGTGCAGTAACATGAATTTCTATTATTAGAGCTTGGAATAGATTCTGTCAGGACCCTGTCCTATTGTAAAATTGCTAAATTAATAATTGTGTTCTGCAGGGGTTTCATGATAAGAATTGTATTTATTTTTGCACTCTGGCACCAGAGGATTGCAGAAAATCCAGGCATATCCATAAAATAAATTTGCCTCTTTTGATATTATATGGAGGTACACCTACAGGAATAAAATGTAAGAAGACCCAATTAGAAAAATACAGTGAATAATAAAAACCTAGAGTCGACATTAATTATAGCCAGGGAGTGGGAGTAACCTTGTAATATAAATTTAATGCAGCACAAAACATTGTCTTTTCCTACTACTCAGTCCTCATCTCATATCTCATGTTTCCACCTGCTTTTATACTAAGGAATAGACACACATTGCGTCTTAGTTAAAGCGTCTTAGCTGAAGCCTTCACCTGTTTGTCATCTTCAGGTGAGCCAAGTCCACCAGCGGTCCATGGGCAGAGAGGGATGGGCAAGGACTACCGACTGGGGCTGGTCAAGCAGGATGATGGAGGGATGCCTATTGTGGAGTATATAGTCAAGTACAAAACAGTGAGTATTTTAGAGCAGAATACAGTAACATTTAAGAATTTAGCAGAGGCTTTCAAAGTGAGTTACTAGGTGACCAGAGAATTCACCCGGTAATGTGGGGTTCAGTGTCATACAGAGCCCGAGGTTATTTTCCCCCTGGAAGTCCAGTCGAACCACTAACCAAACTAAGCAATTATGAGGTTATTTTACTGTTCCTGCAATAAACATCTTTGATCCTGTTTGAAATGCAGAGCTTTCAATAGCAGCTCATTTTCTTTTTGTGTTTCATTTGGAGTTTTTCTTTTTTCTGTCTTCATTAGTCATGTACAGGCACTGCTTTTTGAGACCTGCCTAGATTTTCAACCACAAATAAATTGGAATACTGAGAGAACTATGACCATGGAAATTAAAACTTTGTAACTCTGAAACTGCAGGGTGGATTTTGAAATCTTTTGAGTTGGAATTATTACACTGTTCTGGAAACTGTCACCTTTTATCTAAATGTTTTTTGTAGATCATTCGAAGCAAACAGAATCCTAAAGCAGGACTGACTGACCCTCATGCTAAGCAACTGGGGTCTTCCTTTAATGAAATTCTGCATTCTGCTTTTTTTTTCCAAACACAGCTTTGCTCAGTACAGCCAAAATGTTTTCTTTTAGTTTCATCAGCTAAAAGTGTAAGCCTTTTTCCAAAATATAACAGACTTAATTTGTGTTGCTTTGCACACATTTGATATAGAATTTCTTTGTGATTTTTTCCCGTGGTCAGTCCTCAGTAAAGATTATATTAATGCAGGATTTTAGTTTAATGCATTTTAATCTGATCAATCTCCCCAATCATCCTGAAGCAAATGTTTTAATTACCAGTTGTTCAATCCAATGATCACTTCTCTCTAAAAAGTTTTTTGGTCTCCCAGACATTTTATAAGAAAGTGCTCTCTTCTTTTACTACGATGTTGGAACTTATATTAATTTTCAAAGCAATATTCAACTGATTAGGGAAGTACATATCTGCTGACCATTTAAGGGAGGGAAATTTTGAGGGGATTTACGTCTTGTCAAGCCTTTGAAGTTTACATGACTTCATGTTCCCTTATAACCAAAGAAGCCCCACACATCAAATAAATGTCTGAGACTTTGATGCACAAAAAGGATGTTCTGTCTTTAACCGTGGTCGTTTTCTCTCATCTGCCACGCTTAATCAGTGCAAAATCATCCTTCTTGAGTCGCTTACAAAAAACAAACAGTAAGCTGACTTTGCAGAATATGCTGGGTGACAGCTGCATAGGTAACTCACACCAACACACCAATTCCTATCTTCAACCTCCTCCCCCTATTGCTCAAAGGTTCTTACAAACGGGATGCTGACTTACTACAAAGGTGTATCAGTCCTGACTTTAACAAGCATAACAAGAGTTTACTTTTCACAATGACTTTACAATTCACATCTGAATTTTAAGCTAGAGTTGCCCAAATTTTCTTTTCTTCTTAATTCTCTGTCCTTAGTATGCAGCAGGACACTGGAATGTTGTTGATGAGATGGTCTGGAGGTCTTATTGTAGAGGCCAAAGTAGAAAGCCAATGGAGGAGAGAAATGCAAAAGTTTCACACCCCATTAATCTTAGGCCTACATCTGGCTTCATTCAGGGACACATATTTAAATCTACAGAAAGAAAAGTTTCACGTGCCTTTACACATAGTAGTGGAGTCTTAAAACATTTTCACTGTGCCAGTGTAGTGTAAGTGGCAAGCATGCAGTACACCTGGCTTGCTTTAGTTTTCTGGTCCAGCCTCCATTCCTTTTTTTGCAGTTAACAGAAATAGCAGGAAAAAGGATAAAAGGCCACAGAGGAACAGGATAACTTTTTCTTTTACCTATGCAAATGCACCTGTGTTGGTATCTCACATATATAACTCTAAAAATCGGCAGATTAAAAAGACAAAGGATTATCAGTAGTTTGTCAAATAAAGCAACACCTTCCCTTTTCCCCGTTGATGTCCATGAACCAAAATGAGGAACGATCATTAAAATGCCAAACTTCTGAACTCTATGCTCTCATTTGCTATGTTTCAGGACAAAGAGGAACAGTGGATGACCAAACTGGTCCCAGGGGCCAATGATTTTGCTCTGCTGCAGCCGCTGCAGTGGAACACAAGATATGAAGTGGAAATCACAGCACGCAACGTCAAGGGGTTGTCAGAGCCCACTTTCTATCAGTTCTTCATGCCACAGAAACCTGACATTACAGGTAAAACCTTTGAAAAGGGTAACTTTTTATCCCAGTTCCACCTTTTAAAAGATCTATTATTCTTTTAACTCCCATTGAATGCCTTTTAAACATTTGCATTCCTGAGCTTGTTAAAGTGCCATGTTATTCATGCTGCTGGAGAAAGAGATAGCATTGGGGACAACAAAAGAAAAAGATCAAGATGTTCCAGGCGTCACTAAGCAAGTCTCAAAGCGCAGCAGGCTTTGTCTCCACACTGCTCTCCACACAAATGAGGCTGCTGTCATTGGATAAACTGGAATCCCTTCCTTTCCCTTCCAAAAGATTGGTCCATGTGTGATTGTTGAGCATAGATTTAATCCAGCAGAAAAGCACTTTGCTCTGAAGTAGTGTCCCTACATTACAAAGCTTCTCCGTCCAGCGCCTGTTTTTGGCGTTTTTTTTTAAGGAATAAGAACAGACATCAAACAAAGCAACAAAAGAATAATAACTTTTTGTTCTCTCCGTTATGTAACTGAAGGTCTCACTGAAATGAAAAATGTCATAGCAGCACAACTTTACGTGTTAAAGATGTAGACACATTTGACAGTTTGCATCAAGTTAAGATCAATTATTCATTAATGAATTAAGGCGGATGTCTTTGGGATGAGAGGCACCTGTCCATCACAGGAACAAACAAGACATGCTAACTTGTTTGCCGATTTCGTCTCTCAAAGTGACCTCACTAAACCTACCTTTATATGTTGATATAGGTCAATGATCAGCTGTCAGAAGTGTCTCGACTTTTCAGTGTGAAACAAGCAGGTGTGTTTCAAGTAAAAATTCATTGGCCATCAAAAATCAAGAATTAGTCATGTTCTTTAAATATTTTATTTCATTTTTTACTGTTGTGAAAATACAGCAAGTCCCTAAAAAGTTATATCGTGTTTACGTATAGACAGACTACATCATTTAAGAGATGCACACAATGACATGCTGATTTTTTTCGACACTTGGCCCTGTTGTTATATCAAGGTGATGTATTTTTCTTGCATGATTGTGTGTTCTTTTGTTACCTACTCTATGCTGTGCTACTTCTTTTCAGTTGTCTCGCATGCAATATTACAGGAAAGAAAATCTTTGATTTGAGGGATCTTCACCGTTCTAAGCTGTCAGAGCTGAACCTCTAGGCAAAGCATTCCAGTGCTGTTGCACTTGCTTATGCTATCCACATTTTTTTTTCTTTTTACTCAGTTTGAAATGTTTTTTTCTCTCTTCAGTCTATGGTTGCCAAGACAAAAACATTTTTAAAGTCCTATGTATACACAAAAAATTATTTTAGTGCCATCATTGTGTATGGAGAGACTGACAAACCCCATTTACTTTCATATTCAGGTAGACCTGGCTCTCCTTTGTTGTAAATGTTTCTCCTGTTCTTTTGATTTAAAAAAAATCAAGCCCAGCTTGAACTTTAAAGCATTGATGAACAACTATTTTCATAGTTGCCTGGCCCGAGATCCTGAGAGTTTGCTCCCTCCTTTTCTTTCCCCCCTATGATTGACCGGTTTGATGGGGATGATGGTATGAATGAAAATGATCTCCATTTCCCCATTTCCTCTCTACATGGTGTTTTGATTTTGAGTTAGTTGAATGGGACCAGGCGGCACCTCTCGCCTCACAGCAAGAGGGTAACCAGGACATTTCTGTGTGGAGTTTGTATATTTTACCTGTGTCTGTGTGGGGGTTTTTCTGGCTTCCTCCTAACGTCCAGAAACCTGCATGTTAGGTCTATTGGACATTCCGAATTGCCCTTAGGAGTTAATGTGAGTGTGTGTTTGTGGTTGTGGTGTGGTAGTCTTTGCGTGTCTATGTGTGTGGCCCTGAGATGAACTAGCAGACTGTCTCGCCCATTGAATACTCCAGTCCACCCTACAACCCCATTTGAGAAAAAGCGGTTCAAAAGATTGCCCAGATTCTGCTTCTGAGTCAGTTGGATTCCTTTTGCGAAATTGTTAGTGGAAATCAGCTGACTCTCACAAGGTGCAATCATAGAAATCCAATGCTTCAGAGACACTGCAACAATCATCAAATCATAGGTCATGAACAGTTTTTAAAACTATTAAACTTAATCGATGCAGTGGAGTGAAATGAAGGGATACAGACACATATTATTGACATGAAAAGGTCTGTTTCAAAGTTATTTTTCTTTATCTTTGGATTCTTTTGCCACATCCATTCTTGCTGTTTCAGTTTGGGCAATTGTTTGTCTCTATCATTACTGGGCTACCTAAATGGGCTTTAAGTGTTAGGGTTGCTTTTCAGGCAGAAAACAAGACTGGGGAAAAGGGCAAGTTCATGGCAGTCACTTTGATTGGCTGTTCTCTCTTGTTATCCAGCAGCAGTGCATCATGGGAAAAACCCCAGGAGAATGCTATAAATCAGGGAAAAAGCGCTTTTCCCCTAATATGTTTGTTTGAAAAAGTAACTCTGAAGAGCTTTCCAGCTTAGAGAGCATTACAGGTGGATAGAGAAGGTGAAAAGCTTGCATCAGACATGCAGCAGGATTCTCTGAATCTGCTCAAACCTTGACTATAATTTCACACACATCCAGGCATCAAATAGGAAAGATTTCAGTGACCCACTTAGCCATAACTAGGCTCATTGCAACACACAGGTTGGCATGCCCTTGTTTCTTTTAGAAAATCCATCTCTATCAATTATTTCAACCAGCATGAAGTGAGCATTGTTTCAGGAAGAAAATCCCTCACATTTTTTTCATCTCTACATTGAGTTTGAGACTGAAGAAGTCTGCTCAGAGTTGGTAAAATCAACAATATTAAATGTGAATTATCTGCCAGTTCCAACTGCACAATCTTGGATCTGCTGCCTTTCTCTTCCTCTCACACTGCAAAAAACGCCTTGGCGGTACACTTAATGAAAGAAACATCCATTTGTTTTTCATTTTCATTTTTTCACCAGCGAAAGCAAATATGTACAGTCCACATATGCCTTCCACCTCTCACCGACCAATTTTCTGTCTGCAATTCTCTCTCTATGTATTATGCATTTGCAGTGTATTGAATTGGCAATTTCACTTTTTTAACTCCCTTTTCTTCCTTTCACCATCCTAACAGACAGCATAACCTTCCCTCCCTGCTTCCAGAGTATCCTTTAAGAAATAAAAATGAAGGGAGTGCAGCACCACCGTTAAATCACAACAGTAGCTTTTCCCACTACGGTTAAAATAATTACTATAATGTGTGGTTTGTTTTTTTTAAGCCATTTTGCCTTTCTACACTTCTAGATGCCTATTAACTTGCAAACTATAATGTTATTCAATGACACAGTCTATTCAGTTGTTTCTGCATATACTTCCTTTTAGATAAACATTTGTTCTTAAACTTTTAATGAACACAGTCAGACTTTTTCAGTTTCACATGTTGAATTGAATTACTGTTTTGTACACCCAGAAATTTAGATATAATCTATGCCTTATAATTCATTGCAGTGTTTTTTTTCAGTGTCATTCTTTCTTTCTTTTTAAACAAAAGTATTATGCTGCTGTCCAGCAAATGATGATAATGATGTATTTAAAAGTGAAGATAAGATTTTTAAAGATTTTTAAAATTCAAAACTTTTTCAGCTGAGGAACTAACCTTCCCTAAACAAGGGTGGGAGGTACTGTAAAATGAAACCTATACACTTGCAGTGGTGGCTTATGTATACCAATGCATCCTATTTGATCAGGCGCATCTTTTGAATCAGAATCAGAAATGCTTTAATAATCCCAGAGGGAAATGATTAATTCTACAGCTCCAACCTAGCAAAACATTAAACTTTCAATTAAGTAAACAACAATCATTAACTTTCATAACAAACAACTTTGCCCATTAGGCTTTTGGAATGTTACATTCATTATAAAGTAAGGTCTTTACTTAACCACCACTTTGTTCAAGTAAGGTTTGAAAATTAGATACTCCGATGTCTCAGTTTGTCTGAATTGTGCAAACCGACTCAGTGTGAGGCTGCTTTTGCCGAGCGTTGTTGTTGCTGCTGTATTTCCTTCTTGGCACTCTCCTTACACGCCTTCCAGTCATGCGCTATTTTAAAAGAGCTTTGATTGAATCAACAGTCATCGATTTAGTTGGAGATGATCTCATCAGACTGCTTGAGGAAATAATCTTGAGAGGCTTCACTTCTCTCCTGTAAACCGGTGCATCAAATTTCTTACAGAAAGTCATGCCAGCAAATCAAACCTCTTTTATAGCTACCTGTTACGTTAATCAAGTCCCTCATCAATTTTCAAAGTGAAAGTCATCATTGTAAAGCAGTGCTATGATAAAGCAACAGCCTTTTCTTCAGTGATTTAGTACATAGAAAGGCAAATATTGCGATATAAAAAACCTTCCAAATTCTCTATTGAATGGATAACCTGCTGTGGCTCGGAGTGTGACATTGCATCAACAATTCACAAGTTGGTCTGTAGAAACCTTCAAGCAACACTTGAAGTAAAAAGGCTCCTTGACAGCCATCTTTATTCCAGATTAAGATCTTTGTTCAGTAAGAACCAGCTGAATCACAACACCCACACACTAATCATAAAATATCTTAAATGAAGGTTGAGTTTAAATGGTAAAATTATAATGATAGATTTAACAGATATTTAACTGAAAGCAACACTTTAAGTCAACATAAACCACCATCAATAGAAATATAACCCCATTTTTTACTCATTGGTATAAAGAGAACCAATTGGAAAGACATCCTAGTTGATGCTCCCTCACTTATTTATTCACTGTGATAATCCCAATGACATCAAAATATTGGGTTTCTGATGGATTATCTAAAATTGACAAAATTTCAGTGTCATTAGAAGCAGAGGGAGCAGGAAAAATTGCCTGATATTTTTGTGACTATTTTGGCCACATTGAATGGCAATAATACAGACGATAAAAGTCTATGTACGCCTTTGATGCATTCTGTACCTGAAAAACTTTGTGCAACATGTAAATGTACGGCGGTCTCAATTGGTGGTGCTTTGG